CTTTCACCCTTTTATTGATGGACAGTGTTAAATTGTGTGAGAGATTATTTATGTTAGTGTGAAATTGAGCACTATTCCAGTGTTATTTTCAATAATAATAATAATAAAAAAAAACATTTGCACTAAACAAGCCAATCTACTTTTCCATGTTGATAAGAGCATTAAAATGAGAAAAAAATAATGTAACAAAAAGAAATCAAAAGACATTTAGAATAGATAAAAATGTGCGATTAATCTCGAGTTAACTATGACATTAATGCGATTAATTGCGATTAAATATTTTAATCGTTTGACAGCACTAATATATATATATATATATATATATATATATATATATATGAAGAGTTCAGATGCAAAAGCCTCTAAATGCCATTTTAAATTTTCTTCTTTAATGATGATTTTTATCAAACTTTTATATTTAAGTTCAGTGATTTCACTTAAATGGCAATGATAATTACCTATTAATTGTTATTTAAGTGAAATTACTGAACTTAAATATACAAGTTTGATAAAAATCATCATTAAACAAGAAAATTTCAAATTGCATTTAGAGGCTTTTGCATCTGAACTCTTCATATATATATATATTCTTTTGCACAACGATCATAAAATCTTTTATCCAGTAATGTTAATAGCAGTTGACGTGGCCAAATGATCTTTGTTGCAGCAATGTGACGCCCAAGTCAAAGAAAGGTGAAGATCCAGAAGACTCTGCGTCTGACTCTGACCTTGATGACCTTGATGATGAGGAGGTCTCTCTGGGCAGTATGGAGGATTTTGAAGATGAGTTGGAGGATGAAGGTGGAGAGTTCATGGAAACTGAAGATGCTGCTGCTGATGATGATGATGATGATGAAGAAGCAGGTGCGTCAATGCAGCAATTTTCATTATTAAGCTTATAAGTATGATTTTGTAATTTCACAGAAAATGCTAAATGAGAAGAAATGATTTCCATGGAAAATCATTTCTATTATTTTTAAAAATATTAAAAAGAAAAAAGGTAATTTTATCAGCTGGATGACTGGCTCCGATTAAAGAATTCCTTTTTTTGGTGAATATCACACAACCTGGTGAAATCCTTCTTTATTGTATCCATTGGGAATGGTACCTGGTCTTTACAGCTACTGTGTTTTCAGTATTTCAAAGCAGTTAAAGGGTTAGTTAACCAAAGGGTTTTCCTACCATAGTAGGAAAAAAATACATACTATGGAAGTCAATGGGGATTGAGATCTGTTTGATTAAAACATTCTTCCAAATATCTTCCTTTGTGTTCAGAAGAACAAATAAACACATAGAGGTTTGGAAAAACATGAGGGGGAGTAAATACTGACAGAATTTTCATTTTTGGGTGAACTAACCCTTTAAATGTGAAGCAGATCTACACAAACTCATAACTGTATTTAATGTAATAATATTTATGTGAGATTTACCCTTAGTTTTTCCTAATCGACTGAATCGACATTTTTTTCTCTCGTGTGTGTGTGATTCCATTGTCCCACAGGCGCTCGACCTAAAAAGAAAAGGAAAAGAACAAAGGACCAAGCAGTGTTTGCATCAGCTGAAGAGGTAGATGGTTTTTGGGTTAAATACAAGATCCATAGAACTGTTTTTGACATGCTTTTTAATAAACTAAATGAAATCAAAATTTGGTGTGATCACCTATTGCCACGAAACCTGCTTTATTTCTTGGGTACACTTACTTGTAAAAAAAAAAAAGATTGGAACATTCCTACTGTTAACTATGACACAGACCAATATATGGATGGGCTTAATCCTAACCTTTTAATAACCAGTTTACAGTTAATTAGTTATTAATGCACCCTAGATCATAAGACGAGATGTTAAGCACATTTCTAATGCAGCTGAATGAACCCGAAAATGTCTTTCTTAACAGTTTGGGTGTTTGCTGGAAGAAAACGCAGGCTTGAAGTTTGAAAACACTGGTATGAATGCAATGGCCAACACGGACAAAGCCGGTGAGTATATTGAAAGAAGGAACTACAGACTTGCTGCTTTTGTGCAATTAAATTTTTCCTGAATTCCCCATGTCTCTTCCATCAGATGTCAAGCAGCTGAAGTGGGAAGTTCAACGGAATGACTGGATCTGTGGGAGAGATGTCCAAACTCTCAGGAGGAAAAAGGCCTCGTTCAACAAGAGAAAGTTTGGAGGAACCAAAAAGCGTCAGAGTGTCAATAGGAAGAAAATAAAAACTTGATTCTTCAATTTTTTTCTCCAGCTTGATGGACCTAACCTCCTGAACTGCTCCATGGACACATTACATCCTGGCCCACTGACTGTACCTGTAATATACGGTACAGGGATGGATGCTGTGCCATGTTTCTGTTATATTACACCTGTAGAGTTGTTAAGTGGTTCAGTCAATATAGGCTGTTTTACACGTGTTGTGTTAAATCCAGGGTTCCTACATTCATTGGAAAATGCTTGATTCTGTTATGCTTTAAGAAATTTACATTTTAACATCTCCCTTGAAAATGCTTGGTGTGTTTTCTTTTTATAATAAATACAACTAACCTGGAAAAAATAATTGGATCAGGGTTTCTGCAGGTATTAAAGATAATAAATCAGAGCACATGTAATGCCATTAAATATAGCATGCACTGCAAAAAATGAATGTTCCTAGTACAAAAATCCTTAGAAAACAAGACATAACTTATTTATTTTGCTTTTTTATTAAAGATGAAATTATCCAGTATAATGAGAAGTTACAGTAAACATGTCTATATTTTTGTGGTTGGAAAGCTTTTTTGTAAAAACCATTTAAAAAGTAATAGTTATATTTTGAAACTTTAAATTTTTTTATAAAAACAACTCGTGTTCTCCTTAGATATTTACATTTAGAGAACATTGATCATTTGTGTTCTCTTCACTTTATTCCTCAAATTTGGAGAGAGTCAAGTCACTTTTATTTGTATAGCAAATTTTATGTAATACAGATTGGGTAACACTTTAGAATACTGTATCTTACTTACTGCAGAATTAATAAGGAATTATTGACGAACTAATAGGTAATTCTTCATTAACTACTTCTTCACTACTGTTAACTACTAAGGAAGATGTGTTAACTAATCAGTATGTAATATAATTTTATGATTGTGTTAAGAATCAGTTAGTTAATCAATAACTATGAATTCTGTCATACCTCCTGAAGAACTACTACTAATTAAGGTTCAAGAAAAATAACTAAGAAGTAACTACTGAACAGTCATACAAAAACTAACCTCAGATTATTTGTATATTTTATATACAGTACTGTGTGTGTCTGTTTTCCTCAGCATAGAATGCCACTGAGTAAATTCATGTATTTGAGGCAACGACTGAGGGTAATTGAAAATATAGGGAACTTATTAGTAATTAATAAATAAGTATCAAATAATTCTGCAGGAATTACTTAGAAGCTGGAACAGTATTCTAAAGTGACAATACAGGGAACCCATTAGTAATTAATAAAGAATTGTCAAATAATTATCCAGGAATTAGGCTACTTATAATCTGAAACAGTCTTGTAAAGTGAAAATATAAGAAACTTATTAGTAATTAATAAATAACTTTTAAATAGTTATTTTAAACTTTTAAATCAAACTTACTATATATATATATATATATATATATATATATATATATATATATGAAGAGTTCAGATGCAAAAGCCTCTAAATGCCATTTGAAATTTTCTTCTAAAATGACCATTTTTATCAAGCTTGTATATTTAAGTTCAGTAATTTCACTTAAATAACAATTAATAGGTAATCTTCATTGCCATTTAAGTGAAATTACTGAACTTAAATATACAAGCTTGATAAAAATGATCATTTTAGAAGAAAATTTCAAATGGCACTTAGAGGCTTTTGCATCTGAACTCTTCATATATATATATATACCGTAATTATCTAAACCTTTGTAAAATACACGACAATTACTTGCGACAAAGGCGAAGAGGGGTGAAAAAGGCAACAGTGGCAAGGAACCAAAACTCCATAAGGTGACAGAATGGAGAAAAAGAACCCAGGCTCAGTGTATGTGGCTACCGGCATATTGCCGGAACTTGAAATGGTGCAAAAGAAGTTTAAAATGTATAAGAACTAAGTATAATAATAAGGTGTAATATACATGATATGTTTTTGCTTATTTGCAGATCATAGCCTATAGGTAAATGTCTACACTTATTTTTCTTATTAGTGCTGAAGAATGACAAACTGACTACTGTGTATGACTGTTAATTAGTAGTTACTTCATAGTTATTTTTCTTGAACCTTAATTAATAGATAATTAATAGTAGTTCTTCAGGAGGTATGACAGAATTCATTAGCTATTGATTAACTAACTGATACTTAACACAATCATAAAATTATATTACATACTGATTAGTTAACACATCTTCCTTAGTAGTTAACAGTAGTGACTTAAGTGTAATAAAGAATTACCTATTAGTTCTTCATTAATTCCTTATTAGTTATGCAGTAAGTAAGATACAGTATTCTAAAGTGTTACCACAGATTGTTTCAAAGCAACTTAGCAGTAATAAACGTAAAGCAGTTCTACAAAAGCCAACTGTCGTTATTCAGCTCAAGTCATCAGGGCTATTACATTATGTGTCAGGGAAGCCATGACCTTCAGAGATGAGATCCTGATTAAACATTAGGATTGGAACTGAACTGTGGGTCACAGCCCTGCAGAAACACAACTGAATAGTCCTAGTGTGTATGAAACATTTTGTGGAAACAAGTCTGAAATCAAGCACATTTCAAATGGGGGAATTCACAAGTATATTAGTGAATGATCCCAATGACTGACTGGTAATCCAATGTCTTATTTAAATATACTTTTAAAAAAAGTTGTGCTGTGGTAAATTGTATTCAGATAATTAAAAGAAACTAGCAAATACACCATTTATATATGTGAATGATGCAGGTGCCCTTCACACACACACACACACACATCTCGCTTTTGCGGGGCTGATAGTGATCACAGGACGGAGAGATGGAGAGAGAGCAGAGCCAGGAAAGCATTTAATCACACCAGTTACTGCTGTGCCCTTATTCACTAAGGTCTATTATGCAGAGGTGGTGTTCTGCATCCACAACTGCAAGAAGCACCAGCAAAAAATACATATACATAGACCCTGAGTTTGGAGGAGCCTGGATGACATGTTTAGCATCAAAGGAGCTCAAGAAGTTTGGGACGTTCAAACACAGGCATATATTGTAGTCATCCATCCAGCACAGCCTTGGAAACGGCAGCAGTGTGTGCCGCAGTGCAGACACCCGAGTGATAGTTCTAGCTGAATGCTGCAAATGAGCAAGGGGTTTGCAAAAATAGAGGCAAGTTAAAAGTTAACACCTAATTTATTTAGGGCTATGATTAATTTTGACAGAATCATTGATATTGATCTTTCATCAGGCTTATTATTAAATTAACTTTCCTTCAAATAAAATGTATTAAAACTAGACATATTTACAGAGAAAAAAAAAGTAATAATGTCACCCTTATTTCTCATTTATAGTTGCCCTTATGAAAGTTTACCATAGTTTATGCATGCATCCAGAACTTAGACATGGTATTACTAAAATCATGGTAGTCAGGTAGACAATGGTAGATCCCTGCAACATTGCACGCTTTGTTTATCAGTTGATAGAGAGGTGCAAGTTTCGTCAAACCTTTGGAGTATCAGGCTTTTGGCGTTTCATACCCTCCAGATATCGCCCAACTGTCTTCGTTTAGAGAAGCAATTTTATTCAATTGACAGTTATTTCTTGTAAGGCATAAATTACTGTAATTTCTTTCGTACTAATGGAATAAAATGGTGGCTTATCTGAAATGAGACCGCATCCTCGATTTCAAACTTTGATTTTGCTTCCATGTTTTTATTCACTCCTTTACGTGGACTTTTAGTGGGCTAAAGTAGAGAACAGTAAATGTGGGTATAGGGGCTGATTTCAGACATAAAGGGAGAAATGTGCTTAAAACTATAAAAACAAGTGCAGTCCAGTGTACATCTGTTGTTGTGTAGTCATTCAGAACACGTGGACGTTGCTGTCCATTTACAGTGTTTTCATTGCGTAGTGAGCTCAGTAAAGCCCGCCACAGGCACCGGCGTCGAGTTCTCCTGACTTTGAGTCAGCCGACCTCGACCGAGCACAGAGAAGAACTGAAACCTGTGGCCCATCTTCTCAGGGTTGATCAGCATGTCGTAGCTGTTGATTAGCTGCGCTCTGGTGGACGGGTCATGACTGCTCCTCAGGAGGACCTGAAACATGAAAACACAAACAGTCGTGAGATAAAGCAATTCTCCCTGAAAAAGTTGCATTGTTTTGGGTCAGTTATCAAAATTCTACACAATTACACTTCTATTGTTTTCATGAACAGATAGTTGTAGTTGTAAAATAATATATCCTAACCTTAACAGAAATCTTAATGTAAATGTTCACAAAAAATCTTGCTGATCCAAACCAGCAATGGTTCTATTGGCCTTTAACTCATGCACTCTCAGGGCCCTATTTTAACGATCTAAGCACATGGTCTAAAGCACAAGTGCACTCGTGTCTGAATCCACTTTTGCTAGTTTTACGACAGAAAAAAAAGGTCTGCGCACTTGGCGCATGGTCTAAAAGGAGTAATTGGTTTGTTTTGGGCGTAACGTGCAATAAACCAATCAGAGTCTCATCTCCCACTCCCTTCAAAAGTCTGTTGCGCTCGCAATTTTTCTATTTGTTTTTTACATGGAGGAAAACTGAACGTATTTCTAGCGAGGAAACGGATCTGCTTGTGCGCGAGGTTATAGTACGCAGACCATCTACGGGACAAAGTGTAGGTGCACATTACTAACGTGCTCTTTAAATAAAAAAAGAAATTGTGCCATTGACTTCAGACCAGGTTTCAGTTGGTCAATGTCCAAAAAAAAACAGTTGTGTTTCACATTCCTTGGGATGCTTTTGAAAGAATGCCACAGACATTACTTCAGTCATTCTCACCTGCAGGCGTGAGTCAATGCCCATGTTCTTTAGGAAGGATCTTTGTGTGATGGGTCCCAAGCAGGTCACCTGGTCCCCTGCCATTCTCCTCAGGTAACTGAAGTCCACGTCTGCTGTCAAGTCTGCCATGCCAGGTGATTCCAAGACATTGTGGAGGTGATGGCCTTTAAAGCCCTGCCACAAACATAAACTTTAACAACAAATTCATGCAAAAAAAAACATGTTAATAATAAATGAGCTTGTAGACAGTTGTAGGCACTTGCTAAATGTAACCAATGACGTACATCCAAGTAAATAAGACTTTCAGATTTGGTGAGGGGAGGGACATAAAAATGAACCATTACAAATACATATGACTTTCTCATACCAAGATCAAAAAGTACTCAAGGAAATTTGATGGGAAAAATGTGAGCAAAAAAATAAGTATGCATCATATAGTGGTGACAGTGCATGAACACTGAACATCCGAAACTTTTATACAGGTGTAATTTACCTCCCCTGTTGTAGGAGCCATGATCTGTACGTTAATGAAGCATTGATTGAGATCTGTCCCAATAGGTTTGATCACACCAAATAGTGCAGAAACAATTAAAGGGTTTACTTAGATCTTCTTCTCTATGATAAATCAAGCTTATTAGGTTGACTGAAGTATTCTACTGTTTTCCTTTAGTGTGTAATCTGTTTGTGCATGTATAAGATTTGCAAAGTTACAAAGCTCATAGTCTCCCAGAAAGTGATGTATTCAACCAGAGAACACTGATCCAGACCTTCCTAAAACACCTCGATCCAAGTCCAGAAATTACTGTCACAATGTGAAATATTAGCATAATGCGCACCCAAAGGCATACACAACGAGAGAAGACAAGGCTTCAGTGAACTGATGCGTTTTCATCAAGTCTTGTGTCTGGATGTGAGTGTGTTTTTTTTTATTTATTTTTTTTAAATTAAAGCATGTTTTCTATTACACCCAATGAACAAAATAAAGAACTATTAAAATAGCAACAATATGACCTCTTAAAGGTATACTCCACTTTTTTTGGAAATAGGCTCATTTTACAACTACCTCAGAGTTAAACAGTTGAGTTTTACCGTTTTTCAATCCATTCAGCCGATTTTCTGATATTTAGAAGAATATCAGTAACCAGATCGTTTCGGGTCTCATTGACTTCCATAGTAGGAAAAATATATACTATGGGAGTCAATGAGACCAGAAACTGTCTGGTTACAGATATTCTTCTAAATAACAGAAAATCGACTGAATGGATTCGAAAACGGTAAAACTCAACTGTTTAACTCTGAGGGAGTTGTAAAATGAGCCTATTTCCAAAAAAAGTGGAGTATCCCTTTAAAAAAAGTCCATGTTAGTCCAAATTAATACATTTCACAGCCCTGCAAATGATCATGTCCACAAGCTTCCACAAGACACGAACACAAGAACTATCCAGCACTAACCACTCCAGAGAAAGCCTGTCAGAGATAGCTATCATATGGCACTTACTCGGAAAGTATCAGTCTTTGTTCCATCATGCCCATAGTCTACAATCAATGCTGCGCCTCCGTCATCTGCAATCCGATTGGCCAGTTTCTGAACAATGACTCCCCCTTCTGGACACACTTCCACATGCTGCCTGTTTTCATCTTTCTGAAAATAACAATTGACAGGGTTCACTGACAAACAAGAACGTACAAAAGGATGAAACAAAGAAATCTTTTCAAAACACAAATGCCAAGTATTTTTTTAAATGAATTTTTGAATCATGAATATTGTCATTTTCTTATGGTTTTACCTCTTGACAACTTGAACTAACCATTCCATTTCATAAAAAGTTAAATTGATCTAAAATTATTTAGAGACACAGGCATTAAAGGGTTAGTTCACCCAAAAATGAAAATTATGTCATTAATGACTCACCCTCATGTCGTTCATCTTCAGAACACAGTTTAAGATAATTTAGATTTAGTCTGAGAGCTTTCTGTCCCTCCATTGAAAATGTAAAATACATTATGGTCCAAAAATAACAAAAACTACAACTTTATTTAGCATTGTATTCCCTTCCGGTTCTGTGTTCATGAGTCCGCAGTGATGCTGCTGACGTGTTATCTGGTTACCAGATACATGTCAGCAGTGTCTTGCGTCATCGGCGGTCTCGAGAACATAGAACCGGAAGAGAATACAATGCTGAATAAAGTCGTAGTTATTGTTATTTTTGGACCAAAATGTATTTTCGATGCTTCAAAACATTCTAACTAACCCACTGATGTCACATGGACTACTTTGATGATGTCTTTATTTCCTTTCTGGACAAGGACAGTACACCAAACATAGATTTTCAATGCAGGGACAGAAAACTCCCAGACTAAATCTAAAATATCTTAAACTGTGTTCCGAAGATGAACTTACGGAGGTCTTACGGGCTTGGAACGACATGAGGGTGAGTCCTTAATGGCATAATTTTCATTTTTGGGTGAACTAACCCTTTAATGCTGGATTATCATTACAATGGTGTAAATGTGTGAAAAGGATGTTTCCTCTTATGTCAACATTATTTATTGCCAGACTTAGTGCTCCTCATCACATTGAGGGATAATATAACCCTCTCGCCCACGCTGGAGGCATTAGTCTTGCTCAAAGACGCATCTTTTTAGTCTGCCTTTTGAGGCAGAGCAAAGTTAATTGTTGTGAAAGTGTTGTGGGAATGTACATTTTTGCACTTTTTTATTATATATTTTATACTTCTTTTTAACCTTACTATTTTGGAGAGCATTTCAATGAACTGATGCTTTTACACGGCCACATGACACATGTTCTGAGCGAAGGATGGATGAGCTCGCCTGTATAAGCATGCTGGAGGCCAGTGTGGGTCTGTGAGAAACCACGAATCTCAGTTTTTCTGGACGTTCAGGGTCAATATCAACCATCACTTCCCGCCAGCTGTTCCCTGATCTCTAAAAGAAAAAGAAAAAATCCTTTAATGTAATGCTAATGTTTAAGTTTGACAATTATTGCTAAGAGTGTACCTGAAACTTGTGAATGGGTAAAGCATCAAAAAACTCATGGGCAAGGAAGACACTAAAACCTGGCAAAAGCAAAACAGACTTTGATTACAAGAAGCAAGCATCATTACCTTATCAAGGAGCGAGTTTGTGTCAGTTTGATATGTCCGTACCCCTAGGGACATCCTCTATCCTCCGGTACCAGTTTATAGGCAGGCCAGTAAATGTGGTGCCACTGCGGTAAACAAGCTGATCCTCATTACACGTCCAAGTCTGATCTCCAGTTAGACATTTGGCCTGAAGTTGACTTAACTTTGGGCTGACCTCCACGAGATGAACAGAGACATCAGTCTGTCCAAGGACAGCTTTTAACTGACTGAAAACCTAGCAAATAAGAACACAACACTTGTTCATATGAAATGTAGGGCATCCCCACACTTGTAAGCACATAGAGTATTCCTTTGGTACTCTAAATTTGATTTGTGCAGTCATTATGTTTTGTGCATAGGCTGCTATCCTTGCTTTACGCGTTTTAAACAAGACTGCCTTCCATGGTGAAAAAATGACTGGCCCTTTCTCGTTCTATTTTAAAATGGAAGGTGCTTTATAGGCATGACCAATATTTTACATTACATTTGTATTGCCGAGGCATTTTCACTGTTGCAAAAGTTGATCAGCAGACCCTCAGTCGCAAACAAGATGACTGATTCAACAAAACTGGGCATATTTGTTCAGTAGGTCCAACCCAAAGAAATCCTCCTTCACAGTCCGCATTAGAATACAACTGGATCATACTATTGTCAGTCGTCTTAACAGGCATGAAAAGAGGACAAAGAAGTCAGATGCTTCAAAATAGAGCTTATACAGGGAGGGTCTTCAATGAACGAGAAACGCTTCTGGGTTGTACGTCAGAACTATTGGCCACACACATCACACACATGACCAGCGTCGGCCAATAATGAGCCTACGTTCTGATGTACAACCCATAAGCGTTGTACTGTTGCTACACTACGTCAACAGCTTTGGAGAATGACATGGAAGAGAAGAGATGGTTGAATAAAGTCGTTGTTTTGTTTTTGTTTTTGCGCACAAAAAGTATTCTTGTCGCTTAAAGGAGTAGTTCACTTTTGAAAAAAACATTTGCTGATAATTTTTTATCAATAAGTTATCTTTTTCCGAGTCAATTCGTTCATTTCGTTCGTTGAATGAACAAAATAACTTGGAAAAAGATTAGTTCATTTTGATGAACGAGTTCGAACAGGAGAGTCACAAACGTGTGTCACAGAAAAGAGCAAGGCGAGCATTTGAGCTTATAAAACTTAAACTTTGTTATTCATTTATTAAATGAGCGATCGTTTCTCTTGATAAGTCCCTTATTCATCGCCTGGAATCATTTAAAGCCTTTTGAACAGTTTGCAGTTTGCACTGAAAGTGTCTTTTGGACCTTGAACCGTTTGGTTCCCATTGAAGTCCATTATAACCTTAATTTCTTTTCGACTGAAGAAAGAATGACATGGATATCTTTGATGACATGGGGGTGAGTAAATTATCAACAAACGTTTTTTGAAAAGTGAACTACTCCTTTAATAAACTTAAGGTTGAGTCACTGTAGTCACTTGGACTATTTTAACAATGTTTTTCTAACCTTTTTTTATGGGCTTGCAGATAACAATTACCTTGCAGCTTATGGAGTAGTGAGACAGCTCTCAGATTACATCAAAAATATCTTAATTTGTGTTGCTCATATTTACCAAAAGTGCCAATATTAATGCATTTTATGGTGCCTTTGCCTACCAGACAATATCCATTGGAGTATTTACCCTCAGGATGTCACTGGCCAATGAACCTCTACCTGGTCCGAGCTCCACTAACTGGAACACACTGGATTTCCCCGCTGCCATCCACTCACTGACACACCACACACCCAACAGCTGTGGATGAAAGACCATATATATATGTATATATATATATATATATATATATATATATGTGTGTGTGTGTATATGTGTGTGTGTGTGTATATAAATATATATATATATATATATACACTTTTTTAATAAATGCATGGTTTTATATTCAATAAATATTAAAAACAATGCTTACCTCACCAAAAATCTGACTGAGCTCTGGTGATGTAATAAAATCACCACCTGCTCCAAGCATGTCATTTTTCACATAATATCCCTGAAAACACAGAAAACAGAATTTAGATTTTTGGCGAAAGAACAATTACTATCTAATTTTTATGAACTGCTCCGAAACAAGAAGGTTGAGTATCCAAATGCAGTTTATTAAAGTAAATCAAAATCAGAATCAGAATCAAGGCAATTAATCTTTTCCAACTAAATGTATACATTTCATAAAATTACCCAAGATTGCGCCCAAGATTTTTTCTAGAATAACTTTTGCTGCTTTACATTAACCACAAGCCAAGTTTATACTTTACATACATTTGTGTGTTATTTTCCCTCAATAATTAAGTAGTGTGTGTTTAGTGAGTAGTGTTTAACACATGAAAAATAGAGATCATCAGTTCTACATACACAAAGGTAGATATTCTACAATGATCAAGAAAAAAACATCCTTTTTTCATGAACCGGTTATGAAAAAAGGCTATCGATCACCCTAATTAAATCGTTCAAATAAGAACTGCGATTCATCTGAAAAGTTATATTTTTACCCAGCCCAAATTGTAATGAATTCCATAATAGACAGTATAAAAAAGCTTGTCATATGACACATACCGACACTGGGTTAGTGAGCGACTCCCTCATATACTCAGCTACTGAGATTGGACCTGTGGCAGTGATCTTGGAAATAAGATGTTTATGGATGAATGTGTTTGTCTCTAGTCTCTGGGTGGAAGAGTTTGAGCAGGATCGGTTTCCACACATGGTCCACCGCACTACAACAGACAGAATCATTACTATGCAGCTCTTTTGTTATATGCAGAACACAAATAAATAATAATAACATCTTGTAAGAAAGGCTTAATGGCTAAATTCTAGGGCTGTGCAAAAGTTAATTGCGATTAATCGCATCCAAAATAAAAGTCTGTGTTTACATAAAATATTTGTGTGTGCTGTATATAATTATTTTGTATATATAAATACCTATGCATGCATGTATATATTTAAGAATTATTTGCGCTTAAATTCTGTATATATTTATAAATACATAATCTATATTATATAAATATAAATATTTTATATATGAATAACACATTTTCTTAAATATATACATGCATGTGTGTGTATTTATATATACAAAATAATTATATACAGCACACACAAATATATAATGTAAACACAGACTTTTATTTTGGATGCGATTAATCGCAATTAATTTTTGCACAGCCCTACATTCGTACAAAAAAACAAAAACAAAAAAACATCAGCATCTTAGAAATGATTTCTGAAGGTGAAAATGCATTTTTTTCCATCACATGACTACATTATATTTTAAATTATATATATATATAAAAAACTTTCTCCATCTCTCCATATGCGTTTGAATTGCTTATAACGTTCATCTGGGAATGTAACGTGTGTCATTTCACCAGATTTGTAATGTAAATCATTTATAAACCTACGCCAACACAAGAGAATACATCAATATATTATGTATATGCATATTTAATCATGCTGTAAGGTGTAATAACAACAATCACAAGGCTGTTGGTGTCTTCTGCAGGCCTTTGTTATAGTACGTCATGTACACAGGTTGATCATGTTTAAATTGTTTATTACATTATGTATTTTAAAAGTGTCGTCCAATAAAATCATGATTATTACTTGCTTGTGATACTTTATTTGAACCCATTATTATTACCTCGTTGTTGTTATTATATATTTTGAGCCACCTAACATTTTGTGGGTTTAATATATTTATTATTTAAATGCAGCTACTAAAAATGAATTCAAACTAAATAGGTTCTATAGAATAAAGTGATATATCATAAATGTATCTTAAAATATATTTTAAGAATAATGCACTTGGAAATGTATATAAAATAAATATATAGCCCTGTTTCGGATAAGCAGTTTTGTTTATACTATTACATGTAAAAAGTGTAAACAGTAGACTATGTGCATTTACCCTGCATGCATAGTATTTAATATTTAACGTTATTTGATTAGACTGTGAAGCTGCTGTGTTACAATCTGTATTGTAAAAAGCGCTATAAATAAAGGTGACTAGACCTAAAGTTTAATTTTGAGTGACAGTCGAATAGCTAAGACGTAGTGAGATCATTTGACATCATTGCAGTACACTACTGTCTGAAACCTTTATCACTGCAGAAATAATATATTTGGAGTTCAACACGTGAATATATTCGTTATAGTGTATCACTTTGGGCAAAATAACAATCTCATCTCACCTTCTGGCATTAGCCGCCTCAGCCTCAGCACAGTCCTCATGTTTCTCTCATCAACACCTTATGTCATGCCCAGAAATCATAAACGGGTGAACATTGACGTGCAACACAAACCGCTGTCACAAGCCCTTCATTTCTGAGTCGTCTTCTTCTTTTTGTTGGCAGATCGCACTTCAGATCAGTGCATTACTGCCATCTCCTGTTAGCTTACAATAGTACCCTTCCTCCAATAAAAATGAACGTGGAAAGCTCAACAAACCAGGGGTGTTTCTCAAACGAAAGGCTGTATCCTCCTGTGAAGCTGTGTCCTTCCCAGTCCTTCCTTCAAGTTCAGAGGCTTGTAGGCTAGAGTCCTCCTCATTATTAAACACTATAATGTGTTTAATAATGTGTAATAATAAGTGTTCAGGTTTTTTTTTTTTTTCATTTTTGAGCTGTTTTATCTTTATTTAATATATGAAGAGTTCAGATGCAAAAGCCTCTAAATGCCATTTGAAATTTTCTTCTTTAATGATGATTTTTTTTTTATCAAACTTGTATATTTAAGTTCTTAAATATACAAGTTTGATAAAAATCATCATTAAAGAAGAAAATTTCAAATGGCATTTAGAGGCTTTTGCATCTGAACTCTTCATATATATATATATATATATATATATATATATATATATATATATATATGGATATATAATGATTTTAGCTTAGCATTGTCACAAGTCTTTGTATTAATTAAATCTTTGACTTGAATTTCATATGATTCATTTGAATTTCAATTATGTCACATAGCCCTACAATGTGTCTCACAATTAGTGTAACAACATGAATATGTGACGTTTTGAGCAGGGATGAGGTGAGAATCCAAATGAAAACACTATAGAGTCATCAATCAGAATTATTTTATTCTGACTGAAACAAAATGTAAATATAGCTAATATTATTCACTTCACAGTGGGTGCTAATTATGAGTGCATACACTCTAAAAAATGCTGGGTTGTTTTAACCCAATTTTGGGTCAAATATGGACAAACCCGAAATGTTGGGTTAAAAATGTAATGTAAAAATTTAACCCAACGGCTGGGTTAGTCCATATTTGACCCAAAGTTGGGTTAAAACAACCCAGCATTTTTTAGAGTGTAACCTAGAAAATAGTGAATTTTTTCTTACCTGAAATTAAAAATGATTCTCATTCCCAGCCGGTGCTGTCCTTTTTTATTAGCTGCTGGTTGAATCTTAGTATGGAATGAAACATAAAAATGCTTTAAATAAAATACCGTAGTCACAAACAGTGGGAAGATACACTCTAAAAAATGCTGGGTTGTTTTAACCCAACTTTGGGTCAAATATGGACTAACCCAGCCGTTGGGTTAAATTTTTACATTACATTTTTAACCCAACATTTCGGGTTTGTCCATATTTGACCCAAAATTGGGTTAAAACAACCCAGCATTTTTTAGAGTGTAATCGGTAAAGAACAAAGTTTGACAGTTCTGTTTAACAGAAATGTTTTGAGTGGAGTCCACTCTGTGATTCTAGATAGTGACCACTTCCTATACCCAGAGTTTTCGATGCTGTCTTCAGGTCGTGGTTGTTATAGATTACCAAAGATGAAAAATAACCATAAATAACAATTCGATTGTTAAATGGTCTTAAAATAATTTCTTAGATTATTACTTTTAACATGTACTATGTGTCAGTTGTGTCTATTCGTGCTGCATCCAAATTGCCCATAAGGTAAGGTACAATATGCAGGATTTTTCAGCACCAGGGGTCACTAATAATAGCAAAGGTGTATATTGATGACGTATATTCCACATTAAGCTGAATTATGGATCTTGTCGTTAAGCTGATGGATCTTTTATGGATGAGTGAATACAATGATGTTTCTAACATTAGCCTATGTGGTATGAATCACGGCGTGATTGCTAGACGTACACCATCACCACACGCAACGCGAGTCCCTCGGATATAAAGGAATAAGGATATTTTATTCTACCAAACTAGTTACCCACAAATGCTAAATTAATACTCACAGGTCAGTTTTTTAGACGAATGAAAGATGAGGTCACGCAGCACTGCTTCACTTGCTCTAACAGTTACACTATCACACTAAATGGCATTTGAGTGTGTTAAATGTTGTTGTGTGTTGGCTGTATGAGACAAGCTAGAACAGTTGCTCACCTGTCTATTAAATTACATGCAACACTTGCGTCTCTGTCAAGTCAAAGTTAGTCGCGGACGTGGAGCTCTCGGCTTTTTGAAAGATGTTGATCTTTGTTTTAGTCCTCTTTTTGTCTCAAAGTCTGCTTGTCCACAATGTATGAACAAAACAACAACAGCGTGGGCGTCCTGCTAGGCACAACGGGCATTACCCGGTTGTCAACGTCTGTCGACCATGGTTACTATGGCAGTAGGAGGACAAACCTAGCGGAAACCAGGGGTAACGCGGAAGCGACATTGACTGGCGACTCCTCACACGCCCCGTTTCCTTGCTTAAAATCAACATTTTTCACAAATTACAAATAGTTTGAAACATTTGGGATATTGTAAGTAATCAATTAAACAAAATATATAACATTGGCCTAGTGGTTTTTGGATATTTTACTGCAAAAATCCTACATATTGTACCTTTAAATAAATAAGCTTGACCTTGACAGAATTTTCAATTTTGAGTGAATTATATTTAAGCTGTAGGCTACCTTTGGCCTCGTTGTATCTTTTTGTTTTTTGTTGGTTTTTTTTTTATTATTATTATTATTATTATTATTTATTTATTTTTTCTCGATGATTAACCAAAGTCTAAGGGGTTGGAACGGCATGAGGGTGAGTAAATGACAGAATTTGTATTTTGAAGTGAACTGTCCCTTTAAATGTGACGCTTTCCGGAAGATTTCTACGCACACAGCGTCATCAGCACGGCCTGATTAATATTCATGAGCTCAGCTGTAGCTGTCTTGTACGGGGTAATTGTCCTGCTATGGCGATGCTTGTCTCAGGATGATCTCCGCTCGGAACAAAGACGAAATTGTCCGATTCTACACTGTCACCGACCCTACGACACACAAGAAAGGCTACACGGTGTATAAAGTCACGGCCCGGGTAAGACTTGACGGATTTTACCAGGGTGTAGTGCCCATGTGCTAACGCTAATGTGTATCAAGCATATCAACACAAACTAGGAAAACATTAGTCAGTCAATGGATATTTTTTATTATTCACGTCATATATGTTATGCCATGTATGTAAGTATGTGTGTGCGCGCTGTGTTTACTGATGTCAAGGAAATCTTCGCATCTCTAACAGTCACAGTCAGCTGTGCAATATCATAATCATAAAACCTGTGATTTGTTTTTCTTATTTAACGTATATTCCTCAAACTTAGACACAAGTCAACAGAAGCATCAGATCAGATGTGACTGAATCAGACATAGACAAAAATATGTAACGTCAATACTGTAAATATGTTATTTCATATGGTGTTTTTAGATGGTGCAGTGTGTTTCAGTTTTTGCATTCTCTTCCTTCTTCTTACACACAAACACACACTATGCACAATAAAGTGCTGACTAAAGCAGTATTATTGTTCATAATATAGATCAAAGATATTTGCTGCTCTCTGTTGATGACTATATTATTCTGTTTCTTTCCAGATTATCTCACGGAAAAACCCAGAGGACATTCAGGAGGTGAGAATCCTTAACAAAGTCAATCAAAATGACCTAATTACTCTTATTAATAGTATACATGTCTCCAGTCTTATTGTGAATGATTCATCTGTGCGCATTATTCCTCTGGGGGGAAAAAAACTCAGATTGTTTCTTCAAAAGATAATGATTTGATCTACCACTGAAACCATTTTTCATCATTTAGGCTAAATAGCAGTTTAGGTTGAGTTTTTTTAGTCTACCGTTGCAGCTAATGCAGCTTCTCTGAAATCTTGCCAGTAGTTATAGTAATTAATGCAGCTTAATGTAATGAAACTGAATCTGATTTTTTGCAGAAAAAAGAACTCTTGTTTCACTCATAAAATTGCCACATTGCAGAAGAACACTTGTGTTACAAACTAGAAACATTGTTTGAAAAACTTTACATAGAATGGTATGTTCAGTGAGCACTGTAGTGAGTTACTAACACACACTGTCTTTATGTGTTTGACTTGTAGATCACAGTGTGGAAAAGGTATAGTGATTTCAAAAAGCTTCATCAAGACCTTTGGCAAATCCACCGAAACCTCTTTGGGCAGTCAGAGCTCTTCCCCCCCTTCGCCAAAGCCATAGTCTTTGGTAAGTGTGTGTGTGTGTGTCAGCATACATGGAAATTCCTTAAAGGACAACTCCGGCGCAAAATGAACCTTTGGTCTAATTACACACTGTTACCTATTCAACCGTGATCTGAGATCTGTTTTCATGATTGCCGAATGTAAATAGTTTTATCTCTAAAAACAGTTTAGCCTATAACGCTAGTATAATGCTAGTAAATGGGGCATAGAGTAATGACAAATAAAAATCGCTTGTTACTACCAACAAGGCTCAAAATAGCCCCACAGTAACACGACAGCATAATAAGGGTCCCTACATTCAAACCGAAGCATTGAGAACTTTGTCAGTGTCCATACAGTTTAATAAGAAGATATTTTATACACACAGTCAACTTCGCGAATAGAGGAAGAAGCCATCTTTGAAAAATAGTCTCTACCAGTCGATCTACGAACGCCGATCCAAGTGTGCTGAACTGTCCAGAATCTCATATGGTCCGACTCCGTTGTTTTCGGAAAAAACACAAACACGAACCGTTTTCTTCTCTTCAATATGTACACGTAGCCTACTGTTCGCGCTCACCTTATTCACATCTCACCAGCGCGCTTGGATCGGCGTTCGTATATCGATTGGTAGAGACTATTTTTCAAAGATGGCTTCTTCCTGTATTCGCGAAGTTGACTGTGTGTATAAAATATCTTCTTATTAAACTGTTTGGACACTGACAAAGTTCTCAATGCTTCAGTTTGAAAGTAGGGACCCTTATTATGCTGTCGTGTTACTGTGGGGCTATTTTGAGCCTTTTTAGTGGTAATAACAAGCGATTTTTATTTATCATTACTCTATGCCCTATCTACTAGCGTTATACCAGCGTTATAGGCTAAACTGTTTTTAGAGATAAAACTATTTACATTCGGCAATCATGAAAACAAATCTCAGATAACGGTTGACTAAGTAACAATGTGTAATTAGACCAAAGGTTCTTTTTGCGCCGGAGTTGTCCTTTAAAAGTGTTAAATAAAAATAAATGAAAAATAAATGACTAGTTGTGCAGCTTTGAAATTACAGAAAAATCCTGAAAAGTAAGTGCATTGTAACTTGTACTTTTGTGTTTTAAGGTCGTTTTGATGATTCTGTGATTGAAAAGAGAAGACAGTGCTCAGAGGATTTGCTGCAGTTCAGTGCTAATATTCCTGCTCTGTATGGCAGCCAGTACATACAGGATTTCTTTAAGGTATGTATTAACTAAGATGCTATCAAAGCTGTCAGGTTGGTTTCGAGAAAATTTACATTTATTAATTTATCAAATGTGACCCTGGACCACAAAACCATTCACATGGGTAAAAAAATATTCAATTGGTATTTATACATCATATAAGCGTTCCATCGATGTATGGTTTGTTAGGATAGGACAATATTTGGCCGAGATACAATTATTGAAAAATCTGGAATCTGAAGGTTCAAAAAAATCAAACCATTGATAAAATCGCCTGTAGCCCTCTATCGGGTCATGGGGTCTATCCGACCCCAATCGACTTTTACTTAATAAAAAAAAAAGGTTCCCTTCATCTCAGTGGAATAAGATTTTGTGACTTTGCATACATTATCTTTCTATACACAAAAAAAAAAAAAACTGGGCTTGATTCGGTTGTTCTGAAGGTATGTAAAAAAAAAATGTTTACACTTCTGGTCTTCGGGGTCATTATGACTAGGGTTGGGTATCGTTGGAATTTGAACGATTCTGATTCTGATTCCGATTCCTTGTTTTGATTCCGGTTCCTAACGATTCTCGATTCCGATTCTTTTAAGAGGCAGGGTCAAAAAAGTTTAGCTAACCTTGCTAACCAACGGCCTTTCTCAAGGAAATACTCCTTCTGTAAAAATACTCCTTTTGTCACAAATTTTGCCGAGCTTTCTTTATTTTTAGAAAAGTGAAGCCACACTTTGGATCGCCGACGTAAGCTACTCATGTTCGACTCGCGTGGTTATGCTAACACTTCCGGTAGACGCTTCTTCATTGGTGTTGTTCAGTTTCTTCTTCCACTCGGCGGACTGTGAATATCGAAACTAGGAATCGAAATTTTAACTTTTGAACGATTCCGGGAAAAACGAAAAGTTAGTCTCGGTTCCAATCGATACTCGATTCTCGATACCCAACCCTAATTATGACCCCACATTGAAATGAATGGGAAATGTGAAAAAAACTAAATATATTTTCTTCATGTCAAAAAAAATGTGGCATAAATCTGAAAATTTTTACACAGAAATGAAGGCCTAGTACTAGAGCATAAATGCAATGTATCAAAAAATAATATTTCATATGCAAGCTAATGTTGTAGTTGAGGAATTGTGTGGTATATGGATACAAAAGTACTTTATATCTCCAAAAACACAGCATTAATGAATAGATGAGAAGTAAACAAAAAAAAAAAGATTTATTATTTGTATGATTAAAAATGTATATTTTTTGTACAATTACTCAATCAATTGTTGGGGTCATATAGGCCCAGAAGTGTAAACAGGAAACTAAGACCATTTGAAGGTTAAAGTTGTCCATTTATGTTCGCAACTATGCTGCGTTCACTCACAAAAATTAATGTTTTATATATTTATGGTAGGAAATTTACAAAATATCTTCATGGAACGTTATCTTTTCTTAATATCCTAATGATTTTTGACATAAAAGAAAAATCAATAATTTTGACCCATACAATGTATTGTTGGATTTTGCGGTTTGGGGTTATTTAGTATTTAATATTTAACAATATTATTGATCTGTGTTGTACTACTTTCATGTTATCACTGTGAAGCTGCTTTGATACAATCTGTATTGTGAAAAGCGCTATATAAATAAATGTGACTTGACTTGTCTTGACTTTGCCACAAATATACCCGTGCGACTTGTGACTGGTTTTCTGATCCAGGGTCACAAATATAGTCATGTGCATTTTAGCTATGGGCCTGCAGTTTTATGTATTTAATTGTTTTATAAGTTATAGGACACCCTCTGGAGATCAAACATAACTCGCCTTATTTCACAGTCAACTACAGTGCATTCGGAAAGTATTTAGACCCCTTTAATTTTTCACTTTTTTATGTTGCAGCCTAATGCAAAAAACTGCTATCATTTATATATATATATATATTTTATTATAAATGAAGAGTGGTTTCCGCCTGGTCACTCTGCTATAAAGCTCAGATTTCCACACATCTCTGGAGCTCAGACAGACTGACCATCTTGTTCTTACCAAGGCCTTTCTCCTCAGATTGTTCTGCCAACTCTAAGAACAGGTGCGTGAAAGTCAGCAATCTGCTGATTCCAGAGCCAATCCTCCCTATAAGCTCACTACATAAGTTGCGTAGGGCCCCGCAAATAACCCAAGGCCCCGCCTACCCCTCATGTCACAGCGCGCCGTCAATCAAAGTTTACAACATCGATGAGATAATTAAGCGGAACTATCCTTCTTGTCACGAAAAGAGAGACTGAGAAAAAAACAGTGTGAATGAATTGAAAGCTCGTATCTATACCACAAATTTAATTTCTCGTGCCATTTATATGCCAAAAATTGTTTTTGCTTATGCATATGATAGGCCGGCCCTACGCAGTTTTCGTGTCCATATGATGCACACTTTTTGGCCTGTAATATGCACACACTCCACACCCCTAATCCTACCCAAGAGATTTACAGTGTGTAGCATATGCTCCTAAAAAACTATTTTTACGTATAAATAGCAATTAATAGAAATTAAATTTGTGGTATAGACACGCACTTCCATGAGATTCCGTTTCATAATACAAAGGGCAACAGACAATGGTGTTTGTTTATAAACTGCAGCTTGGAAAAGATGACCGCGTTGCGCGTTTACATGAGTTCATATGCGCGTGCATGAAATGAAACGCTCACTTTCCAGTAAAACATCTATGGGGCCCAGTTACCAGTACAATATGGGCGTGATGGCACTCCTCATTAGGCACTCATGCTTTTAAAACAAGACAATGATCAATCAATCAATCAATCAATCAAATTTTATTTGTATAGCGCCTTACAACAGCCAAAAGGTGCACAAGGCGCTTTCCAGTAAAAGCATCAATAGACAACAGAAAAAAGGGGAAGAACAAAACAAAACACAAAAATAAGCCAGAGTTGAAGATTACATGTTAAAAGCTTGTCTGAACAGATATGTTTTTAACTGTGATTTAAAAGCACCCAGCACAGTGATGCTTCTTAGGAATGTTGGTAAAGCGTTCCACAGTTTAGGGCCCTGGACAGCAAATGACCGGCCTCCAAACTTTTTATATTTAAATTTGGGAATGACCAGATAGGTCTGTTCAGATGAGCGCAAAGTTCTGGGTGGTTGATAAACTGTTACTAAATCGGCGAGGTAGACCGGGGCCAGACCATTAATAGCCTTGAACACAAACAGTAGGATCTTATACTCCACCCTAAACCGTATCGGGAGCCAGTGGAGCGAGCGGAGGACAGGGGTGATGTGCGAGCGTTTGGAGGTGTTGGTGAGTAGACGTGCTGCCGCGTTCTGAACCAGTTGAAGCCGATTAAGAGATGATTGATTAAGTCCAGTGTAGAGGGCATTACAGTAGTCTATCCTCGAGCTGATAAAGGCATGAATGACTTTTTCAAAGTCAGCTCGGGACAAGAGCTGACTTTGATCTAGTCTCCAATGATCTAGTCTCCAAGTCAGTTTCAACTCTGCAATAAAGCAAGATGGAAGGCAATCGATTGACATTGACTATATTGCATTTAGAATGTTGATTGGCTAGACATACTGGTCAATATGAATGCACATCCCTCAGTAAATAACCATCAAGTATCAATTATTGCTTTTATCATTTAAAACACAGTGACAAGCAATGGCAAGCCATTTTAGCCTTTTTTTTTTTTAATTCACAAGATACAGTCTTTTATATCAATAATTAAATTTGTACTATTTATAATGTGAATTATTGATATAAAAGATGTCTATTTCTGATATCAGGAATTAAATTTTCATTAGTACTAATTAAACAGGTGTGACTGTGTGGCAAATGGTTTACATGGCTCATGGGTCAGGTAGGAGAGCCCCTTAACAGATTTTTGCTTGGGGCCCCAGGGAGTTCAGGATCGGCTCTGAACTGAAGAGAACTGAACTTTCATTGGCATTAATATCAGAAAAGAAAAAAACAATGGGATCTTCATGGCATGAGTTTTCATGGCTAAGCCTCACGTCACTAACTGCAATGCCATGTGTCGGATAGAGTAGTGTAAAGCACGTCGCCACTGGACTGGAGCAGTGGAAATGTGTTCTGTGGAGTGACAAATCATCCTTCTCTGTTTCTTTAGGGTGAGTGTGGGTTTGGCAAGAGAACGTTAACTGTCTGACTGCACTGTGGCAACTGTGAAATTTGGTGGAGGGGGGGATTGTGGTGTGGGGTTGTTTTCAGGGGTTGGACTTGGCCACTTGGTGCCAGTGAGGGGACATCTTAATGCTTCAGACATTGTGGACAATACTGCGCTTTGTGGGATGGGCCTTTTCTATTCCAGCATGACAATAAGGCAAGATCCATAAAGACATGTTTGGAGTGAAAGCACTTGACTGGCTGATTGAACTTGAAAGCCCTGACCTCAACCCCATCCAACACCTTTAAGATGAACTAGAACAGAGATTGGCGAAAATCAAATGTACCGTCTAGAAGAGTTAAAAGAACCACCGCATGACTATCTTGGAAGTGAAGTCTGGAATGTAAAAGTGGAGATTTTAATTTTTCATATTTTAAGTTGAAATATTCACAGCTTATAATACAACCAATCACAGTGAATTTCAGCCCCTCCGAATGCAAGCCCTGAAAATGTAATGTATTAAAATGCAAGCACTTTTATTGCAATATATATTTTTTTTTAAATAGTGCATTTTTTTAAGTACCTCAATTCAACATGCTTTTTGGCTTCAAAGAAATTTGTCATGATTTTTTTTTCTTTTCCAAAAAGTAAATTAATGAAAAATTTCCTCTCCTCTTTCAGTCATGACTTGGCCTATTCCTTGTCAAATCACTCATTTTTATTTGATTATGTTGTACATTAAATTACTGAACATTGATGATCTCTGCAATATCTTTATGTTGGTTCTGATCTGTTTACTCTGAGGAGTTTTTATCGCTAGAGTTCTTGCCCAGAACAGAAGCATAAATGCCAATCCAAACTGTATGTCAAGTCAAGTCAAGTCACATTTATTTATATAGCGCTTTTCACAATACAGATTGTATCAAAGCAGCTTCACACTGATAACATGAAAGTAGCACAACACAGATCAACAACATTGCTAAACACTAAATAACCCCAACTGAGCAAGCTCAAAGCAAGCCAAAAGCAAGGCGACAGTGGCAAGGAACCAAAACTCCATCAGATTGGATGGAGAAAAAACCTTGGGAGAACCCAGGCTCAGTCGGGGGCCAGTTCTCCTCTGGCTTACATTCATATTGTTTAAATATAAATATTGTTTATGAATAAAACGGCGCCATAACATATCGCAGGCGTTGAGTCGTCTCTTCACAGGCGTTGAGTCGTCTCATCACAGGCTAGCTGTAAATGTATGCTAGCTGTAAATGTATCTGGCGCACGTCCCACAAAATCAACAGCAGCGAATAGTCTACTTGACGCACAGACACAGATTATCTATCTTTAGAAAACTTTAAGTGTCTACTTTGTATTGTTTTTATGTTAAATGCATTATATAAGTTACTTAGGAATAAATAGCATTTTTTCAGATGATAAAGAAAACGTGACTCATAGCACGGAAAAAACGTTAGGTTATAAATTATTTCGCGGACCCCACTTTGAGAACCACTGGTTTAAAGGGGTTTTGTATGCTAGCTGTAAATCTTCTTTAACGATAGTGATCCTGACAAGAACTATAGTTTTTGTTTGATATTTTTAGTCTATACATTTTCTATAAAAAAAAGTATAGGAAATAATCATTTATATTATTTTTTATTATTATTTTATAGTTGTAATGAATACAAATTATTGTAAAATGTTTAAAAAAAAGTAGAATAGTAGATTTGTCCAAACTTTTGACTTGTTGTGTAGGTTTTTTTTTTTTTTTTGGTTGAGTCAAACTCGGGTATCCAGGTAATCAACCAGCTAATCAAACCAAGAGTGAGAACAGTGTGAAGGAAGACCTGTATAGACATATAGAGTTTGTAGAGTTTGTATAGACATGTATATATTAACCATTGTTTCCTTTCATGCTTTTCTTTATCATTTCCTCCCCTTTTTGCAGCACTAAAACATGGTGATCTCAATTGTTGTGTGTTTTAGGGTGGTGAGGTGCAAGACAGCTCTGAGCTCATTGGCCCTGCCGAGCCCTTCTCTGATTTCCTTGCTGACAGTCTCTTAGATAGCAGCTCTGAAGGTAAGTTCTTCATCAAACTTGCTTCTTTAAAGCAGGGGTTCTCAAACATTTCGGTGCCCGTGACCCCTTTCAGGGGAAAAAAATTTCCAAGGATCCCCCTCATATTTATAACAGTTATTGAGCACAAAGTTAATGTGTGAGCGGCTAATGAAATATTTTTGCACAAAATTAATGGTCTCCACCCAGGGTACTATGCAGGAATTTCTAAATAGGCTACTGAGGTCCCAAAAGTGATCTTGCTAGGATCCCTCACTTAGGAATTTTTGATGTTCTTGATCTACACATGTGCATTTTAAGTAGGGATGCACCGAAATGAAAATTCTTGGCCGAAACCGAAAACCGAAAAAGAGGAAACCAAGGCCGAAAACCGAAACACCGAAAGAAATTATGCCAATTATTAGTATCATTGCATTTATGGCTATGACTGTGTACAAACTTTACTAAAATCAAGGCATTGCAATTGCATAAATTAATATAACATTTTCAAAGAATAAATCAATTACAAATTATGCAAATATATATTTAGCACAATGCACAGTATAAAATAAAATTCAAACTAAAATGTTTAACTTGACCCCACTTATGTGTACACTAAATAATAATCTACTGGCCTGCAGAAAGATTTTAAAATGAAATGTTCTCTCAAAAACAAAGCCAACCGCAAACTTCTCATCACACCAGCACCCAGTTTGCACGTCTAAATTAGTTACATTTTAAAAAATGTAGCATACAATAGCATAAAAAGCCTTTTTAAATGAACAATGGTCCATGTTTAATACAAATGTACATGAAACTTAATGAAACATTTTTAGTGAATGTAGAAAATATTTAAGAGAGCATTAATTTAGTTCTACATGTTCCCATATACATATTTTTTTGTAATGTCACAAGTAATAATCTCAGGGTTTACTGGGTTTTACATGATTATTTTTGTATTGGTGGTGAAATACAAAAAAATAAACATTGTCATGTGTTTATCTGTCTTCTTCTCACCGATTCCTGATGGTTAGAGGACAGTTACTTGAGTCGTCCCCTGTCGTTTCAAGGAATAGTAACAGTTACAACGGAGCGCGCGTCAAGTATAAACGCCTCGACCGTTTGGAGCGGTGCACGCGCTGTTTGTGGAGACTCGCGCTGCCTTGTTTACTTTCGCCTGCCTCCGCAGCGCGAGTCTAATTTATAATTTTTAATTGTTTCCTGCTCTAAACAATGCGTGCCGCCATGACGACGACTCCGGTTCCGAGCGGGTCAAGAGCGGTGCGCGCGCTGTCTGTGGAGACTCGCGCTGCCTTGTTTATACTTTCGCCTGCCTCCGCAGCGCGTGTCTCCACAGACAGCGCGCGCACCGCTCTTGACCCGCTCGCAACCGGAGTGGTCGTCATGGCGGCACGCATTGTTTATAGGTGGATAAACAAGGTTTCCGTCTCATTGCGGGTTCAGATACACTGAAATACGTCCACACCGCAGACATGTTGCTTCAGACAAGCACGTGCAGGTCGCGGTTTCTGTTTGCGTCATCACAACATTTCGGCCGTATTGTTTCGGTGATAAAAGTCTTTCGGCCGAATACCGAAAATGCACTTTTGGGCCATTTTCGGCCGAAAATTTTCGGCGGCCGAATATTCGGTGCATCCCTCATTTTAAGGTGTTTTAAGGCCCCACAATTGGATAACTATATTTAGAAGCATGTCAGTGGGCAGTGGCATACATTTTTTTTTGTCAAGATGTCACAAAACACAATCACATATTCCAAACAGGAATAGCCTTAAAAGAGAAATGTTTCAATGATTAGCCCTATTCTGCACACAAATAAATAGTTCCCACATGACGTCACAACATACGGGCATTTGCCGACCCGGCGCCATTGCTGAGGGCAAAACATTAGAAGAAGCAATACGAGTTGAACGAAGTGAAATGAGTTTCGTGCTATAAAGTGAAAATGGTCATCTCCTGCTGGGTAAATGGATGATAAAATCGTGCCGGAGGTTCAGTTAAATTGGGATTTTACAGTATACCCGTCATTACACTCCGTATGGATGTGAGAAGACTATAGCTTTTGTCAGAACAACGACGGAGATTATGGTTGGCGAGCATAAACAGGAAAGAAACTCACTCAAAACACGCAAGAATTTGTTTGACAAAAGCACAATGTTGTGTTTATTGCGAGTGTAAACAAATATAAGTTAACACATTGCAGTTTGAATAATGTCCTGTATGAACAAAATGATGAGGTATTAAAAACATACAAAACAACATTGTTTCCACTGTTTGATCTCACATTCCAGCATTGCAATCTCAGATTATGTCCCTAAAGATCCCGCGTATAATGTAGTTCCGCATTACATTAATTAAATTGCACGCAAGTTATTTATTTTTACATTCATGCACTGAACCATGACGCCCGCAAGTACATGCATATTACAGAAAGCACCGGTGACTGTTTTAAGGGGAAAATAGGAATTAAGTTGTGCAGGCTATGGCTTTTTGACTAAGTTACTTTTCCATTGATTGCACTTGAGCAAACGTCACCAAACCAACTCCACGTCAAATCTGATCGTACACCTCCAGTGATTTCCAGGCTCGGAATTGCTCACATGTGTAAAAACTCCTCACCAATATCAGATAATGGTACACATGAAAATACTGTAACCGAGGAGGCAAAATCAGTGCTCAGTGCTTCCTTCATTACTGCATACGGATCCACACCATTTATGAATGAAATTTTCGCATTGTACCTCTCTCTGTCTCTGTTTAATCTATTTCACTGTCTTTTCATGATTTGCATAACAATATAAACAGAAATAAATATTTGTTTGTAAAACGACATTCTCTGATAAAACTTTGTAAACGCCTATGGTAAACACAGTGGTTTTGCCCTCAAAGATGGCGTCTCCGGGGAGGTCACGTGACATTAATTCGCCTGTGGGAACTATGTATTGTGCGCGCACGCGAGACGCCGGCATGCGATTACGTGGGAATTTTTCTTCAGCAGTGGAAACACGAATACTCTTATTTATGGTCCTAGATAAGACAAGAGTGCATCATCCGAAACGGTAAAGTGTCCATTTTTTATTTGTGTATAGGCTACATTATAAATGACTACAAAATGTCATGCCTTTTAAAAATACAGAAAACAACCGGATGCGGGTTCATGCCGTCTCTCTTTCTTCTTTCTGGCGCACGTCCCACAAAATCAACACCAGCGAATAGTCTACTTGACGCACAGACATAGATTATCTATCTTTAGAAAACTTTATATGTCTACTTTGTATTGTTTGATGTTAAATGCATTATATAAGTTACTTAGGAATAAATAGCATTTTTTCAGATGATAAAGAAAACGTGACTCATAGCACGGAAAAAACGTTAGGTTGTTATAAATTATTTCGCGGACCCCACTTTGAGAACCACTGGTTTAAAGGGGTGATGAACTGATAAATCAAATTTTCCTTGAGCTTTTGACATCTAAGAGGTCATTGTATTATAAGAATATCCTGTAAGTTTCAGAACTGAAAACATCCTTGTTAGTCCAATAAAAGCTTTTATTGACACCAGGCTCAGCAAACGACTCGTTTTTCAAATTGGGGAACTATGACGTCAAAGAGGATAAAACACAACCCCTGCAGAATAAGATCAACGCCTACTTCAACACGGCTGGTTTAGCCCCGCCCACCGATTCGCGCATTACACGCATAGCTAAATAACATAGAAATGCCTACCTCGTGATGACAAACTGGATCGAGCTATCGAGCAATACCGAATATTGTGCAGTGCCTGGTTGTGGAAGAAGACAGTGGCTGCATAAGCTTCCTCTGGATTCCAATAGAACTTTATTTTTAATGACGTTCCAGCTGATGAGGGTAAAACATCTGTCTGTTTGCTTCATTTCACTGAGGATTGTTTTGTAAACAAGACTGGATTTGCAGACCGATTAAGAGTAAAGAACGGTGCTGCGCCGTCTATATTGGATCTGACAGGAATCCAACACACGGATTCTGGATCGAACAAGTATGGGCGAATCATTACAGTTGCCCTTTTACAACATTGGATGTTTTCAAAACAATTTCCCACACCGTGCACTGACGAGTGAGTTGAAACTCATTATAATATGCAAAACTGTTATCCTCTCACAGCAGTGGGGGTTTACTTCCAAGTCTTCAGTGCGAGACGCCCATAAAAACCGAGCTAGGCTCAAAACTAGGGTAGAAAATAGACCTTTCTCACAACTTCCGTATTTGTGACCGGAAATACGCAATTGTCGTGGTAATCTTCTTCCGCTCCATTCATAACAGATAGCGCCGAAGGCAACTAGTGAGAGTTGTTGCGTACCGATCTTTTTGGTTATTCCCAAAAGCAGCCATACCTGTCGTTTTCATTCCTTCCCTCGTCAGTTCCCTGTCGATGAAGTTCGACGGAAATGGATTCAGGCAATCTGGCGGGATGTTATTGATCCTGTGATCTTCTGTACTTCTCATGTCACCATTCACTAATAAGCCGTCATTGTTTGTTTATTTTTTATGTTTTGTGTATTTTTGAAGTAACGTTAGTTCATGTTCAACTTTATTAAGATATTTGTATCCAGCGGAATAAGCACATAAAAATATACACCACAATATAAAACAAGATAAATAAGAACACACAACAGTGGGCTACATACAAATTTAAAATATAATATATACCATTCTGAGTATTTAATAATCTGAGTGTACAAGGGATAAATTAATATTTGTATAATTTTTCTTCATCTTTGATCGTTCTATAGCAACAGCAGTGCAAAAAATTCAGGATAACTGTTGAATAAAACTGACAGACTTCTTTCTGGTATTCACATCAAAATGCAGGTTATTGTAAATAATACTCCCTAAATATGAATAACTTTCCACACACTCCACCTTCTTACCTTTAATGAACGTATATTGGGAAGAATGAGCTTCAGTTCTGAAATCAATAGTCATATCTTTGGTCTTAGATAAATCAGCTGCAGACAAGCATCACCACAGCATTTTACAAAGTCATCAACAACTGGACCATGACAAGTTTACATTTTTTCGAAGTTTTGAAGACTCTCTGATCAATTTTCACCTCCCAGAGTAGGTTTTTCTAATGTGTCGACAGTTGACGGGAACTCCGTTTCCACAACGATTACGTATTTCCGGTTTTTGTGAAAAAGGTCTATAGCCTATTACTTATTCATTTAGATGTTTTTGAATGTAAAAACCAAGCGAACGTCATAAGTTGACCTCGGACAACAATATAATAAAATTTAAAAAGCCAGTTTATGACCCCTTTAAATTAGACTCGCATAAATTATACCCACACCCAATAGAGTTAGCATGAATAAACAGTATTAAAAAAAAAAACCTATCCTAAATGCATTTCAACATAGTATAAAACACCTGCAAAAAACTGTTGAAGCCACAGTTTTAATAATTCTGTGTTTGAAATGAACTTTTTCACTTACCAGACAAAATTAAGTTAACCAGTGGTGTAGTCTATGTGATACGCAGGTATAAGCTGTGTACCCACTAGGAAAGGTCAAGTATTTCCGTATACCCACTTAAAAAACTGAGGATACGTAACAACCAAATCACGGAATCGAGTCACAAATGGAACTTAGACTGTAGCTATACAGTAGAACGTCACAGAATTTTGACATTTTTGAATGAATAAATCAAAAGTAGGGCTTTGCAATGAATCAAATATCGATAAGGATTAGTGTCTGTGAAGAAGACTGCTATTTAAAAAATCTTAAGTCTGCAAGTCTGCATGCGCGTCTGTGAATGAGCACCGCAGTTTCGTCTATCACACACACACACCGAAGCATGCTTGTGGTGTTTTTCAGCATTTCATCACTGTATAAGGAGACGAACATGTGTGAACTTCATCGTAAAGCTGCTATGAGTCACATCATGAGCATTGCATTTGATTAAACCAGCTCCGTAACGGCTGTGGATTGATAAAACTATCATCAGTCATATCACATGCTCACAGAAACTCCAAGGTACTTACAACCACCCGTCAAAATTAAAGTTAGTTATAACTTGAAGAAATTATAACAGAAATGTATTACTATAGCACATTAAAGTGTACTTTAAGTAGGCCTAATAATAATAATACAGTTTATTAAAACACACAAAAACTCAAATACTCGGTCATAAAAGCTCGGTCTAACTTGAAGAAACGATGAAATGTACTATTTATTCATTAAAATGTACTATTTAAATAATAATAATAAGTAATAATAATAACATCTATTCAATTTTAAACAGTAAACTTGCAAAAAAAAGGAATTAGAATTTTTATTTGATTACATTAAGATTGATTAAGTTATTATAAATCTTTTGAGTTTTAAATAAGCTTTATACATTGATTACCACTATTTTTAAAGTACATTTGTATTTATCCTTACAATGTTTTAAAAAATGTTTTGAAGATTTCCAGCTGATAAAACCTGTGCTCATGGGACCATATTCATATAACATCTTAGGCTAAATGTAGCTCTTAACTGGCAGAGATAGATGGAGATTAACACTAAACAGTAGAAATCAGTCCAGTCTCCTCAGCTGTAAATGTAATAAATTGACATGTTGATAACACGTGGTCTTTCATAATGCTCCCCATATATGTAGATGCACACTGGGGTGTTGCTTTGGGACGGGTGAGAATTTGGGGTGGGGGTTGAGTTAAATCAGAGTATACTCTCTACAGAAAATTATTGGTAGATCTGATTCTGAATCATTGAATGGCTTTCAGTTTTACGACAGTCAATCATCGTTTGCGGATACCATTCAAATAAAATGTAAAAAAAAATCTCTCCTTTATTGATGTACATTAAAATAAAAAAGTTTGTCAGTGGTTGAAATGGGAAATGCAAATGTTTGCATTTGGCAGGTGTTGATTTCAAACACTGATTGCATGAAGGCAGTCCATGTGACCTTTCAGTTAGTTGTTTAGTGTCTGGATATGTTTATCTTGCTATTTCATGACTCTACACTGCCTCAGAAAATTTCATTTATTGATTGAATTGATGCTTTTGTCTGATTTTTCTTTTTTCTTCTTCTTTTTTTTTCCCCTGTTGTTGTTTTTATGTAGTTCCCAAACATATCAGTTGTGTGGGTGATTTACTAGTGGCCAACCCATCTAAACATGTGTGTAAGTGAGATGATCCTGCATGTGTAAATAAATATAAGCCAAAACTAAGTAATGTACCCTGTTAGTCTAAGTTTGTTACATCAGATTTTTTTGTTGTATCTGTTGCTATTGTCTTTGCTATCATCAGTCAGTTTACATTTAAATGCGAGTAAAAATTGCCATTGAAATGGTGTTTTTTTTTTAAAAAGATTTTGATACCGCATGGTGGTGAGACTGGGAGATGGCTTAGTGTGATCATCAAATCGCAATGGTTGTGATGTAATTATATGAATGTTTTGATCTTGTTTCAGAGTACTGTAACACTCTGTTTTCAGTTTCGATTCGCATTAAATGAATGCTGCTCTGCAAGTGCTGTGTTTGAGTCAGTTATAATTTGCATTTGTGAACTCAACATTGTTCATGAGAATCGTTTGAAAAATCTGTTGTCAACGAAGGGAAGTGTCTCCCTGGGTTTTCCATCAAAAGCTGAAAAAAATGATTGAACGTTTGAAAACAAAGAATTGAAAAATAAGGCAGCATGAAAAATAAAACTATTATTTAAATTGTAGATGGAGTATATACAGAAAGTAAACAAAGATCACTGAAGCTGTTGGACTCACTGAGTTTTGCAAAAACTCCTGTTGGTTATTATGCAGGGATTCGCAAACGTGCTGAACTCGGTAAACAATGACTAAACTACTGTCTTGAGTGATGTAGAGTGGATTCTGACCAACTGTAGCACTTCTGATTCTTGCAGTCAGCAGACATTAGTGGTATAATGGCACACAGAAATTATGGTTCGATACATATCTTGGATTTGAATCTCATGACTGGCAACACCGGCAGCGCAAACAATCATAGGGTATCTTGTAAGTCTAAATAAACAGTTTTAGATATTGATGTTTATTAAGTTCCACTACATTAGTTTAATTTTCTTTTCAAAACTGGCATCTGTCCATTGAGAATAATGCAGGTTGAAATTGAATTTACGCTACCAATCAGAGCCGGATGTGACGACACGCAGACTGTCATAAAGGCCTATTGTGAGTCACGGTCATAGTGCCAACAACTGGCAGCAGGGAGCATGACGCACACAACAGGCTTTGAAAGATTCTCTTGAATTTACCCAAATTGCTTTAAATGCTCTTAATTTCAAGACATGGCTCATGTAAAATTGCAAAAGGGTGTGTGATCTCTTTAATTGTGTTGCCATTTTAACTCATCAAACTTCAAAATGCTTTTCTTTGCATGCTCTTGTGTTTTAAAGTTCTTAGCATACTTAAAATTTCCGTTGTTGGCTGTTAGGAGGCATAGGCAAAAGTTAAAACAAGAACGTGCAGTTGGGCTCTGTAGCGCCTTTTTTGGATAACAGTTTTGACTACTGTCACCAGACTCACTACCAGTACAGTTGTTTTCGTCAAGCCAAATTCATGACAAGAAAGGGACAGAAGAAGAGTCTCATTGTGCATTGTCAGATTTAGATCAAATTGATGTTGTAAATTTGGTAAAGGAGGCTGATCACATGGATGGTTTTCTTAAAGCTATTTAGTAGTGGTGGCTCATTAATGCTTGGGCCTTTTGTTGCTGCTTGCAGCATTTTTTTTTTTTTTGCTCAAAGTATTTTGCATCATATCCAGTCGTGTTAGTCATACTGAATTTATGTGTTTAATGGCAGGTGGCAGCGGTCACAGTGAGCTGAATTCTCTGGAGGTTGATGGAGACTTTCTGGCCGCTGTTGACGATGGAATGGCATCAGGCAGCATCAAGCACAAAGCAACACAAAGCAACTCGTCTCCAATCCCACAGCCAGTGACGTCCCCGAGCCGGGTGGGCGTAGAGTCCAGCCACACCAGTGGGACTTTGAGCTTTGCCTCTAGTCTCAGGAGCTCCACAGAGAAGGAGGACTACCTGGAAAAGGCCAGAGGGCTGATCGCTCTAGCTGTCCAGAAAGAGGTGGAGCAGGAATTTGCAGTGGCGTTTTCCTACTATCGTAGAGGTGTGGATCTTCTGTTGCAGGGTGTACAAGGTATGTTTTTAAATGCATGTATTTACACTTGTACAGCTGTAATTGTCTCCTATTGGGTGCATGTGCTTGCTTTGTGTTGACGAATGTTCACGCGCTCAACATATGTCTCTGATTGGCCATTGTGTTGACACGCTGAACATATATGCTTCAGATTGGCCATTGTGTTCACATGCTCAACATATTTGTTTCTGATTGGCCATTGTGTTGGCGCTCTCAACGTGTATGGCTCTGATTGGCCATTGTGTTCATGCGCTCAACATATGCTTGCGATTAGCTGCTGTGTTTACACGCTCAACATGCTTCTGATTGGACATTTTGTTGGCGCTCTCAATATGCTTCTGATTGGCCATTTTGTTGACGCTCTGAACTTGTAAGCTTCTGATTGGCTGTTGTGTTCACACGCTCAACATATATGCTTCTGATTGGCCATTTTTTGGCTCTCTCAACTTTGCATGCTTCTGGTTGGCCATTGTCTTCATGTGCTCAACATGCCTCTGATTGGCCATTGTTTTGGTGCTCTCAACATATATGCTTCTGATTGGCCATTGCGTTCACACGCTCAACTTATATGCTTCTGATTGGCCATTGTGTTGGTGCTCTAAACATACATATTTCTGATTGGCCATTGTGTTTACCCGCTCAACATATATGCTTCTGATTGGCCATTTTGTTGGCGCTCTCAACACATGCTTCTGATTGTCCATTGTGTTCATGTGCTCAACATATATGCCTCTGATTGGCCATTGTGTTGATGCTCTTTTAATCCCCCTTTTCTGGTTCATTCTTTCGACCCTCCCGGAAAGGACCACACAGAGACGAAGTCGAGACGTGTTTATTGGAAATATGTGAAATGACACCACACAGACTTGAAATACAGCTTATCCGGTCACATAACATTCTCCTCAGCAGCTTGCATAAACTCTTTCATCATTTCAACAAACAATAAATCACGTTTTTATCGTAATTAAAAGCTCAGTTTCTTTTCTCTGTTTTTTCCTCTAAACACAGAAAACATAACATACAAACAGTACATCATACCTGGAAACATGTGAAATGACACCACACAGCTCATCCGGTCACATAACTGTCAAAAATAAATATGAAGTAAATTACATGTGAATATAAGCAACGGGAAATACAACGAAAACCATGTGCTCATAATGAGCTCGACAATGAGTTTAAGTATAAGATAAATTATTCATCAACTCTATCTCTCTTATGACTCAATTATGAAATAAAATACTTTCAAAGGAACAATTCTGATCTTAAAAGAGAAATAAACTCATCACTGAAAACACTTTATTTCTGTTCGACCGGAGAGAGATTTTCCACCTACCATTCTCCTCAACAGCTCGCATAAACTAAAGCGAAAATGGCGGCTTGCACTGATACGTACTCTATTCGCCTGTAGGTGTCCCCATATCCATTTCTTAGATGCACTTGATGCATTATATTTAACAAATATTTTAAGAACATTATAGAACATGAACAAACATTTTGGCATAATTCATCACAAATTTCTTTTACCGGTACACTCTCATCATATATGCTTCTGATTGGCCATTGCGTTCACACGCTCAACATATATGCTTCTGATTGGCCATTCTGTTGGCGCTCTCAACATATATGCTTCTGATTGGCCATTGTGTTCACGTGCTTCACATATGCTTCTGATTGGCCATTGTGTTGGCGCTCTCAACATATATGCTTCTGATTGGCCATTTTGTTGGCACTATCAACATGTATGCTTCTAATTGGCTGTTGTGTTCACACGCTCAACATGTATGCTTTTGATTGGCCATTTTTTTTGGCGCTCTCAACATGCATGCTTCTGATTGGCCATTGTGTTCATGCGCTCAACATATATGCTTCTGATTGGCCATTGTGTGGGTGCTCTCAGCATGTATGCTTCTAATTAGCCATTGTGTTCATGCTCTCAACATATATGCTTCTGATTGGCCATTGTGTTGGCGCTCTCAACATAAATGCTTCTGATTGGCCATTGTGTTCATGCGCTCAACATATATGCCTCTGTTTGGCCATTGTGTTCACACGTTCAACATATATGCTTCTGATTGGCCATTGTGTTCATGCGGTCAACATATATGCTTCTGATTGGCTATTGTGTTCATGCGCTCAACATATATGCTGATTGGCCATTGTGTTGGCGCTCTCAACATATATGCTTCTGATTGGCCATTGTGTTCACCCGCTCAACATATATGCTTCTGATTGGCCATTTTGTTGGCGCTCTCAACATATATGCTTCTGATTGGCCATTGTGTTCATGAGCTCAACATGTATGCTTCTGATTGGCCATTGTGTTCATGCGCTCAACATGTATGCTTCTGATTTTCCATTGTGTTCATGAGCTCAACATGTATGCTTCTGATTGGCCATTCTGTTCACACGTTCAACATATATGCTTCTGATTGGCCGTTGTGTTCATGCGCTCAACATATATGCTTCTGATTGGCCATTCTGTTCACACGTTCAACATATATGCTTCTGATTGGCCATTGTGTTCATGCGCTCAACATATGCTTCTGATTGGCCATTGTGTTGGCGCTCTCAACAAAAATGCTTCTAACTCGCCATTGTGTTCATGCTCTCAACATATGCTTCTGATTGGCCATTGTGTCGGTGCCTTTAACATATATGCTTCTAATTGGCCATTGTGTTCATGCTCTCAACATATATGCTTCTGATTGGCCATTGTGTTGGCGCTCTCAACATAAATGCTTCTAATTGGCCATTGTGTTCATGCTCTCAACATATATGCTTCTGGTTGGCCATTGTGTTGGTGCTCTCAACATATATGCTTCTAATTGGCCATTGTGTTCATGCGCTCAACATATGCTTCTGATTGGCCATTGTGTTCATGCGCTCAACATATATGATTCTGATTGGCTATTGTGTTCATGCGCTCAACATATATGCTTCTGCTTGGCCATTGTCTTGGCGCTCTCAACATATGCTTCTAATTGGCTATTGTGTTCATGCGCTCAACATATATGCTTCTGATTGGCCATTGTGTTCACACGTTCAACATTATATAGGGCCCTATGAAATGCGTTTTATTTTTTCCCAAATTCCGTTTTATTTTTTCCCAAATTCCGTTTTTTCCGTATTAATTTTTTGGGAATTAGTTTTTTTTTACCCTTGACTGTTATTTTAGTTGTAAAAATAGTATGCTTTTAAAGTTAATGATTAAAATGTATTAAAAAATTAAAATACATTAGTAATGACCTTAAATTTATTGAGGTAATACAGACATTTACTCAGGAGCCTTTTCAGGACAAATACTGCATGATGCAACATAACACTGCACTCTTCAAGTAACAACAAAATATGGTTATGAGCTTTAAACTGTAATATAAATTATATTCGTTTATATAAGTTTAAATAAAGTCACACTCTGTCTCTCACGGAGTTCGCTTCGCTTTTGTCCAGTCCGGCGCCTCATAGACAGACGCGGTGTGCACATTGTGTGAGAGAAACGCAGGGAGAGTGGGGAAATACAACTGAAAGAGCTGCGTGTTTTAAATAGTGTTAAACCGAAACACAGTATGTGGCGGCGAATTTGTCAATGTGTGGGAAACACTGCATAAGTCAAGTGCGAACTGCTCGGCTCGGCACTGATGGCTTATAGCGTCGAGTTTCTTAACTTTTAGCCGACGAAAGCAGAGCCGTGGAGAGCCGCTTCGCCATAGTTTCATTGATTTGATTTCGTCATTGGAGCTGAAATGACGGGTTGAGGGGTTTGTGTCGCCCAGATTTGCTTTCCCTGGTCTGCATTTTCACCAGATATGCGTTCATTTCCCACACAAAAACAGAATTTCAAACCAAATATGTAAAAATCCACGAAATTCCGCGTTAACACTAGATTCCGCGTTAATTGGCCAATTCCGCGATAACGAAATCATGGACGGAATCGCGGAATTGGCCAATTAACGCGGATAATCATAGGGCCCCACATATATGCTTCTGATTGGCCATTTGTGTTCATGTGCTCAACATATATGCTTCTGATTGGCTATTGTGTTCATGCGGTCAACATATATGCTTCTGACTGGCCATTGTGTTGGCGCTCTCAACAAATAGCCTATGCTTCTAATTGGCCATTGTGTTCATGCTCTTAACATATATGCTTCTGATTGGCCATTGTGTTGATGCACTCAACATTTGTCTCTGATTGGCCCTTGTGTTCACGCGCTCAACATACGTATATGCCTGTAATTTGCTATGATGATCAACGTTTCAAAAACATGTTGTCTTCACCGAGCACTTGCACAGATACACATGAGAGCGTTTCAAAGCAGACGTCTATCATCGGATCCGTCTATCAGTAGATTTATTAGTGATCTGCTGATAGACGGCCACTGTCAAACTCTCCCATGTGTATCTGTGTAAGCGCTCAGTGAAGACATGTTTTTGAAGCGTTGTTGAGCGTTCTCATGATTTTTCACAGCAAAACAATTTGCACAAAAATATTTGCATTTTTTACTGTCAACCAATAAGTTGTAATTTATGCAGTTTCATCGGTAGTGGTTATACACATCCATGTTTGAAAAACAGCTTTCACACCAAGCAAATTAACTTTTTGATGCAGACCAACAAAGAAACATGTTTAGTGTGTGTATTTATTGCTTATTTCAGGAGAGGTGAGTCCGAGCAGAAGGGAGGCTGTGAAGAGAAAGACTGCAGAATATCTGATGCGTGCCGAGCTCATTTCTGCACAGCTCAAGGACAGCATGGGACAGAGCTCCACTCAAAGCAGGGTTAGTATGTGTGTCTGACCTTTCACCTGAGACCTCATTAATGCAGTGCACATGCATATTGGATCCTCTATAAAGTGAGGAACAAATCAGGATTAAATAACTCACACAAAAATGGAAAATTGATGATTTGCCCATGATTTACTTGCCTTCAAGCATTCCTAGGTGTATATGACTTCATACAAATACAATCGGAGTTATATAAAAAATTGTCCTGGCTAATCCAAGCTTTATAATTGCAGTGAATGGAGGATGAGATTTTAAAGCCCAAAAAGATTTTAAAGCGCATTCGTCCATCATAAAAGTGCTACACATGGCTCCGAGGGTTAATAAATATCCATATTTAAAACTTTATCAAGTAAAATAACCAGCTTCCGTCAGACGGCCTGCACCAAAAAGACTCACTTGATGATGTAGGAGTAGCGTACAGGACTTGAGGGTGAGTAAATCATGGGCTAATTTTAATTCTTGAGTGAACTATCCCTTTAATGAAGGCATAAACTTGAATGTTTTTTGTTTGTTTTGTGTAATTTATTTGAATATTTTTGAAAGTAAATGCCATGGGAACATGAACAGAAACTTAATTTTGAACAAATATATTTTGAAACCTGACCGGCTTAAATTTGTGAAATGGGTAACATTTTATAATAACTACACACTAATAATCATTAGTTAAGCATGAGTAAACAGTTAATTAATTATTCATAAAGCATTAATAGACATTAATAAACAGTTCATAAATACAGCTATTAATGATTTCTTCTTGATTTAAAAGCATATCTATAATTTGTTTAATAATTGTACTTTCATCCTTTATTAATGATCAATTTAACATTTCTAAATGAAGAATTGCATTTTTTATAAACCAGTTATTTAAGAGTTGTCAGTGGTTCATAGGATTACTTGGAACATGTAAGTGATTAATAAACTATTTAATTGTACATTCATACATCTTATTGTTCAGACATATAATGATGGTTACTTAGTGTGTTAATAAATGCTTTGTTAACATGTATTTATGCTGTAATTCAGGGTTAATTTGGTATAGTTATAAAGCATTTAGTCATAAAGTGAGGAACAGTTAACTATGTTTGTGAGCTCATCTAAAGTGAGGACTATTCATGCCTTGTATTTATGCTGTAATTCAGGTTTAATTTTGTATAGTTATAAAGCATTTAGTAATGGTCAGTTAACTATGTTTGTGAGCTCATCTAAAGTAAGGACTATTCATGCCTTGTGAAGCATTTATAAAGGAGATTTAAAGCCTGTTTCTATGTTCTGTATCACTGTTGTGTTTAGAAGAATGATGCCCCTTTAAATCTCCTTTATAAATGCTTTACAAGGCATGAATAGTCCTCACTTTAGATGAGCTCACAAACATAGTTAACTGACCACTACTAAATGCTTTATAACTACCTGTATTTACTACATTTAATTACACTTTCTATGTGATCGTATGAATGACTGACAACAACTCTTATATAACTGGTTTGTAAATAATGCTATACTTAATTTAGAAATTATTAATTGATCATTAGCAAAGTATCAAAATACAATTATTAAACGCATTATAGATATATTAATAGACATATATTAATGCTTTATAAATGATGAATTAAATGTGTACTCATGCTTAACAAATGATTAATTGCATGCAGTTATTATAAAGTGTTACCGTGAAAGGTTTGTGAAAAGTAAGTGAACAATATTTACATGCACTTTGCATATGAATGTTTTATGTCATTCGCAGGAACATTCAAAACATGATTGTGCACTCACATATTGGATTATTCTGTGCACATTTTTATGAATTACAACCTTTCCATGTCCTTCATTTGTCTCTTTGTTTGGTGTCTCTTCAGGCGTTGGGCTCGCAGTGCTGTGGCGGCTCGTGGTCTGAGCAGACTCACTTTGATGAGCTGAAGCATTACAGAGTGCTGGGCGTTATTGATAAGGTATACATCACAATCTTCACAAGCTCTTTTCTAAATTTGGCAGTTATGACCAAAATAATCTTAAGTATAAGTTATGGGATATGTCACCATTAATAGGGCGAAGTAGCCTGGCTAACGCCAGACCACGTATCATTGAGAATGAGACGTCGCCTGGAAACCACATTTTCTCGTATTTGAGGCATGGTTTACGAATGCCCAGAGCTATGAATGTCTATCAAATGCGCCTGTACGTAGCTCATAGCCAATCGGTTGAATGATACCAGATGATCTATGTAGAACGACAGAAAATATAATATATACTATATATACACAAAACGTGTTTCTCAATGTCAAGGATACTTCCTTGTCAGGACGGGTCCTTCCAAGTCATTTCCTTCAGAGGCTAGACGACACTCCTCTTTAGCATTCGGAGAACAATTAAATGGAACAGGGTAGGCAAATGCACTTCATTGCGTCATTACATCAGTGAAAAGTCCGCTTTCGACGCGGCAAGAATGGTAGTGCTACTGGTTTGCTTGCTGTACCACACTGTTTAAACACACTTGACAGTCCTTATTTTGTCTTGTCAGCAAGACGGTTGTTATACCGAATACAACCCCGCGGAGGGATCTTGAATCAGACTAAAGGGGTTTGTTTTCGCTGCAACAACCACCTCGCTATACATTTTCCCACTTATAACATGGCTACCTACCCAATAAATCAATAATTTGACAAAATATTGACTTATAAAAGAGTTTATTAATTTAAAAATGATTATATTACCAGAGTGAACAACTGCGTTCATAACACCACGATCTAACTTTTAAAACACATGAAATGGTAAAATATGTGATCAACAAAAAAGGCTAACGTTATATGAAGTAAAAATTAAAAAATATGAATCACCAGTAAAAGGTAACAGCTTCTATCATTTACATTTATTCATTTAGCTGACGCTTTTATCCAAAGCGACTTACAATTGCTATATATGTCAGAGGTCGCATGCCTCTGGAGCAACTAGGAGTTAAGTTTCTTGCTCTGGGACACATTGGTGTCTCACAGTGGATTCGAACCCTGGTCTCTCACAACAAAGGCATGTGTCTTATCCACTGCGCCATCACCACCCCATAGCTATCAAACAGTGTTGTCATTGCAAAAAAAAAAGCATCAGATAAAAACGAAAGAGTCTCATATCTTCTATCAAAATAGATCAAATTGCAGTTGTATGTTTAGTCATGGGTGCTGATCACTTGGTTGTAGCTATTGTGGGTCACAGTCATAGCGCCACCAGCTGGCAACAGGAAATAAACTTTTAAGAAGAACTCTTTTATTTCCTTGAATCGCAATGTTTTCGTAAAGCCTTCTGGTGGTGATGGTACGGTATATATACCTATATTGTCTCTGTTGTTAATGTTTTCATGACAAGGATCTGTCTTTTAAACTCTTTAAAAAGTTTTAAAGGATTTATTTGTTAAATTGTTTTTTTTTAATGTTCTATCTATACAACACTGTTTCAAAAGTGTTTTTTAAAACTGCCTTTGTTTAAACTGCCTTAAATTGCCTTTATTCATGTGTGTTTTATGTGCAGGTGCTGTTGGTGATGGATAAGAGAACGCAAGAAACTTTTATTTTGAAAGTAAGACAGACACAGACAGACAGACAGACACAGACAGACAGACACAGACAGACAGACACACACAGACAGACAGACACAGACAGACAGACAGACAGACAGACAGACAGACACAGACAGACAGACGCAGACAGACAGACGCAGACAGACAGACAGACACAGACAGACAGACACACACAGACAGACAGACACAGACAGACAGACACATACAGACAGACACAGACAGACAGACAGACACAGACAGACAGACAGACACAGACAGACAGACAGACAGACAGACACAGACAGACGCAGACAGACAGACAGACACAGACAGACACAGACAGACGCAGACAGACAGACAGACGCAGACAGACAGACACAGACAGACAGACAGACAGACAGACAGACACAGACAGACAGACAGACAGACACAGACAGACAGACAGACACAGACAGACACAGACAGACGCAGACAGACAGACAGACAGACAGACAGACAGACACACACAGACAGACAGACACACAGACACAGACAGACAGACACACACACAGACACACACAGACAGACACAGACAGACAGACACAGACAGACAGACACACACACACACACACACACAGACAGACAGACACAGACAGACAGAAAGACAGACACACAGAGAGACACACAGACAGACAGACAGACAGACACAGACAGACAGACAGACACAGACAGACACAGACAGACAGAAAGACAGACACACAGAGAGACAGACAGACAGACAGACAGACACAGACAGACAGACACAGACAGACAGACACAGACAGACAGACAGACCGACAGACACAGACAGACAGACAGACACAGACAGACACAGACAGACAGACAGACAGACAGACAGACATAGACAGACAGACAGACACAGACAGACACAGACAGACAGACACAGACAGACAGACACAGACAGACAGACACAGACAGACAGACACACACATGTTGCTCACATATTATGGGCTGTTTGTGCTGAATAGACTGTAATTACACCTCTGCCATTAATATGTTTATAAGCAACTGAAAAAAGCACAAATGTCAGGGCATGTTAAAACATAGAGGGTTAAATTGACTGTTTGAATTTGATTCAACTATTTACAGTAAGAGTAAAAAACAGAAAGCTGTATCTAAACCATATCGAGGACTGAAGTATTACAAATTGGTAATTAAATTTTGGAAAAAAAGGGGGGCCATGTGGATGGATTTGAGAGGTTTGGTGACCGTACCTAGTGATTAAACTATATACGAAAAGACATAACTTTTGATTAATTTGGCCTATTGTCATAAGCCCTTTCTCTTTACATTCTTTGAGTCATGCAGAGTACAGTGTGTGGTTGGTAATAATGCCTTTCTTTGCCATTTTTGAATTTTAATGAAAATCGTCTTTTTTTGAAAACTGTAATGCATAAGGAAGGCATGGACCCATATGTCGTGTGTACAGGGATCTGCGTATATAAATAACCATCTTATTTCAACTGTTAAACGAGGTGATTACCAATTTTATAAATCAAGATCAAATTGGATTTATAAAAGGGAGGTATTATGGTGATAGCATAAACAGAATATTAAGTGAATATAAGTGGCTTCAAGGGCCCACAGATGTTGCCTGTAGATATCCCCAAAAGGACATTAGAGAAATGTATTTTGGTCAGGGTATAGGCCAATAATTAAGTACGAATCCCTCCAGCTTATGAAGACTGATGGAGAAGTGAGTCTTCCAAATTTCAAGTATCATTACTGGCACATATAGAAAAGGCTCTGTCAACCTATCTTCCCTTTGTAGAGACCCATTGTGACAATGTTGTAATAGAGTTACTTTAAATGTGTAATAAAGTACAGTCATCATTAAAATTATATCTACCCTTTATTCTGTAGAAGTACAATAAACAAATTTCTACCCTCTAAATTTGATCGATTTTGATAAGTGTTCATATTTCGGACTCATTAGTGTATGTTGGAGAGATTGTGTGGCACAATTATGTACGCATACTCTCATCCAGAGATGGGCACTCGACTTGGTGGCTCGTAATTTTAATGGACTCGACCTGAAATGACTAAAACGAAACGACAATAACCTTAACTATTGAGGAACATGTATTTTTGATCTGTATGCAGTGCTTAAAGTGGGCCGTTGCTCACGGTACACAGAGTATCAGCAATTCGGCGCTATTCAGCAGCTCACGGTCTCGTTTAGAGATTAGACGTATCTCAAGCTTTCTTTGATGTAATGGTCAGCTGTAATAGGAATATACGAGGACTTGACCTATAACATTCAGTTTACACATTATATTTGCAACATTTTCAGTTTGACGGCCAAAATAAAGTGGCTGGATTAGCAGTACAGCAAATTAAAAATAAATTTCAACTGAACTCAACAGATGCTTCCATTTAGACAGCTCTGGTAATTATTACATTTTAACAGGGTTTTTCTAAAACTCTTTTTGGACTGCAGTCTTGTAGATTGAGACCCCTGATTTGTACTGTCATGATGTGTGTGTTCAGGGTTTAAGGAAAAGCAGTGCTTGTGGGCGTGTCAAGAAGACCGTTGTGCCTCGTTCCCTGCCTAACATGGTACAACTGGAGAAATACATCGTCTCAGAGGATTCCATCTTTCTTTTACTGGAGTATGCTGAGGGTTTGTGTTATTTTCACTGCGTTTTTACTTTTTACTAAATGCCCAAGTGTGTACACCGGATGTTGACTAGCACTTCCTCCTTGTCTCATCAGGTGGTAAATTGTGGACTCATATCTGCAAGTATCTGCATGGCAGCAGTCCAGACGAAAGCTTCAACATACCTTTCATCCAGAAAGCTCACTCTATAGCTATACATTCAGCCCTGAACCCTGTACCCACCGGTTCCAGCAGTGTGGATTCCCGGGTCCTAAGCTTTGGAGAGCGTCCATTAGGAGCCCGACCGCCAGATTCGGGAGCCACCTCTGAGGAGGAGTGCACCAACAGCTACCTGACACTGTGCAACGAGTACGAGCAGGAGAAGCTGGAGCCAGAGGAAAACCCCTGCACACAGAAACATGCATGTTCAACGCTAAACACCGATAGTCTCTGCTCTCCGGTTTCAATGCAGGAGCTGAGCTTCTTCACTGAGGAGGATCAACTGGCTGGCTTTATGGATCAATGCACATCTGACCATCTGAGCCCATCGCCGCCCAAGGAGCTCTTCTACAGTGAGGGTGAGGACGTCTGCAAGCCACTGTCTTCACCCTCAGATGCTGGTATAGAGGAGCCACTGGAGAAGCAACAGGAAGAGTCGGATCTCTGGAGGTCTGACGGTGATCAGTGCTCAAATGAGTTGGTGCCGGTAATTTCCTTTAAAGAGGCTGTATCAGAGGATGTGAATGTCAGCTGTGCGGTTGAGGGACAACCGCCTGATCTTTTGGTCAATCTGCCGGCACTCGAAGGAGGCACAGGAGATGTGTTAGAGGAAGAGCTTGTCCCTGAAGGCATCGCTTTCCCTGTTGTAGACAAAACCTCTCCCACATTTGGCAGGCCAGATGTTCTACAGAGAGGAGAGAATGCAGAGTTGGACCCGTCTGTTGATGTGGCTACGCTTCCACTTCCACACAAACCATCAAAAACAGCAGACTTATTGACTCTGTCTTCCCCCAAGCTCTCGGGTACGCTGGACGCAGCGGTTCCCAGATCTCAGAAGAGCTTGGTTGAGCATGAAGACGTGGGGTTGGGGTCAGAGGGCTCTTCAGGAGAGCAGGAGGTTGAGAAAGTGTCGAAGTTGTTTCAAGAGCTGGATAGGTTGGCGGCTGTTTCATTAGACACGCGTATCCCAGAGGCGATGGTGCGGAGCTGGGCTGCTGACATGGTTGTGGCTCTGGATGCGCTGCATCAGGAGGGAGTCATCTGTCGAGACCTGAACCCCAGCAACATACTGCTAAACAACACAGGTGAATCACTTACTCACTGCGTATTGTTGAAATTTGCCGTTTTTCACATTTCCACGAGCCCAATGGTTTTTTTGGGGGGTTTTTTATGGTGGCTTTTGAGAATAGTATTTGCGCATTAGTTCCCATTACCGAAGGAACCGGCAGAAGCATCTGCTTATTCTCAAAGGCTGAATATTTACAAACTCAGTTTACTTTGCTTCATCCATTGTTTAGTGTTTAGTTTTCCATACCATAAAATCTAATGAATTTAAAAGGATTTAATGAAAATAAATGCATCATACAAGAAGTGTGTTTTCAAGGCAGCTGTTTAGTGATTCTTTAGTGATCGTGAAACACAACTGAATGATTGTGGCCAGTTATAAGCGTTTTGAGTTTCTTTTCATGATATTCTTAGCAGCGCATTACAGAACCTCTAAAGGACGTTTGCAAAAATAAAAAAAGCTCACTCAATTAATGGCAAAATCAATGTTAGGAAATGTAAGCTGATATTTCCTACTGACAAAATGCAAAATATATGCTTAACCACTTTTTGTGAAAATACTTGCGTGCCTAAGACTTTTGCACCGTACTGTATATACACATACTTTAGCATTGCATGCACACAAACTTTTTCATGCCCTTGAGAAACTATTCACATGGACACAGGAATTTTTTTGCATGCTTTTAATCATTAAAATTGCTAGTTTATGTATACTATAACCTATGTCTACAGACAATACAGCAAAATATATAAATAACTGGATTAAAACCATTTTTGGGGGGGCTGAAAATACTCTTTTTGCTTTGGAGGTCTCTACAAAAACCACTTTCATTTTCACATAATTACAACTCATAAATACATTGCACATTTCCTTCATTCACCACATTTTTCAATGATTCTCAAACGCAGGTCCCATGATTCATTCTCTTTAAATCCCTCCTTGTCGTGAGCATACTCTGCTGTGATTGGTCTACCACTTACAGTGCTTGTCACAAGACAGTAACGATTTTGCCGATTTTAACCGAATATTTGAATAAGCATAATAGGGGCACTTTGAATGTGGTCTAAAAATCTACTGAGAGGTTTGGAAATTTGGGTAACACTTTACTTGAAGGGGTGTGTTTAAGACTGGCATGACACCTTCATAACCATGACATGACATATGTCATGAATATGAAATATGGTTTATGCATGTTTATGACAACTGTCATTAAGTGTCTTTTGCTCAATAATGACATTTTGAATGCAAATATGACATTTAAGATGTCTTTGTTATGACATCTTGACATAAACCAATACATGATCATAACCTGTCAGTGTCTTTGTAATGACAACTTGACATTAAATGAAGTTAAACTGTCAGGTAGTTGGCTTTGACATTGGCTGTCATAAGGCATTATAACTGTGTCATGAATATTTTTCGTGACCTCAACTACAGTGGTACACATTGAATTTGTCATTAAAATGTTATAATGGCTTCATGACAGCCAATGTCAAAACCAACCACCTGATGGTTTAATGTAATGTTAACCAATAAAGCTATAGTGGTTTCTAATGTTTGATAATTCATCTGATGAAATGTGTGAAAAGTGTAGGAACCCTGTCAGAGTGACCTCTGCCGATTCAGATAGGTTGAAAAATATTTCCCAACTAATGCTGTAAACATGATACAGCGCTTTTTATCAGGACAAACTTTTAAGGACTTATTAGATTTTTTTTGTTCATTTTTAAAGAATATTTTATAGAATTATACTAATTTTGTACATGTACATATTTATTTATTTTATTTTTTTTGTCCAAGTTTGTTTTCATTATGTTGTACTTACGATATTATGTTGTTAAATGTTTAATATGTATCTGTCATGTAATAGCCGGTGATGGCGATAAGCTTAAATACTACTTATACATTACTATAATATTAGAGGTTGAAATAAATTGCTATTTATTCAACTGCTCTTTATTTTTAGATATAATAATTACACTGAAATAAAAACTGAAATAGAGTGACTATTGTGTCAGTGTATCTTGGTTGCAAATAAGGTAGTTTGCATAAACGCTTATATTTATAGAAGGTTTATTCAAGCATACAGTATCATTATATTATAAACAGTAAGTAAGCTCCTCTAGTGCTTTTTTTAATAGCTAACTAAATATGGATAAACATTGGATAACTTTTCGGAGGTAAATGCAATGTTAAGTGACATAGTTCACGAGCTGCTTTATTGACGTCTTTCCTCGCTTGAAACACTCGATGTACCATTTGATGTTTATGCATGATTTTTAATGCTATATCTTGAATTGAGGTGCTACAGCGATATGTCACATCTGAGAGTGTCAAAATGTCATTTGTTGTTAGAATTTTTCTGATAAAATGGACAGTATTTTAGAGCTGACACTTTGTTTCATGTCAGAAGTAACAAAACTCTGTTGTTATTGAATGTGAGGAGCGCCAGGATCAGCCCTGGTCATCGGCTGTTTATAAAAAAATCATTCGATAGCTGATGGTGAAAATTATTCAACTCTATCAGCTCATTAGTAGAAACTGCAAGACTTGAGTTAGTTATATGACCGATCAGGGAAATCTTCCTAAATGTGGAGTGGTGGATGGGTCCCCAGGACAGGTTTGAGAATTGACAAACTGCTCTGTTTAACAAACACATGACCAAAGACAACATGTTGTGGTCTAGTATTTAAATGTATTTTTTACATTTACCAAGTATTGGTTTGTCCCCCCTTTATCTTAAAAGGAGAAATGTTTTTCAAAATCTAGTTTAAAATGCATTTGCCAAGTTCTCTTTTCAAGTTCACATACTTGTCATTTTCATTTCGTGTGTGTGTGTGTGTGTGTGTGTGCGAAATGTTTTTCAGTATTCGTTAAACCATTTTTGTGGAGTCTTGAATTATAAGTAAAAGACTAGTGCACATTACATACATAATAACTTTATTTAAGGCTGTTGTGTAATTTGATTAGAGTTGGATTGACTCTCTCTCTCTCTCTCTCTCTCTCTCTCTCTCTCTCTCTCTCTCTCTCAGGTCATGTGCAGCTGACCTATTTCTGTAGCTGGAGTGATGTAGAGGAGTCATGTGACCCTAACGCCTTCTCAAAGATGTACTGCGCACCAGGTTAGCTTGTCTTAACATTATAGACACATTCTGTACTGTTTTTGTGCACTGTCTTTAAATGCACTGTATGTCATCTTTCTTTGAGTTTACCATCCACCACAATCAATTATGGAGTTTTATAAAAAAAAAAAATAATAATAATTAAACGGGTGGTATGTTTTTACCTTTTATAAAATGGTTAGTTCCAATCCTTGATTCTGTCAATAGCTGTGCTTTATTTGTGATAAAACACGGCTATGACCGCTTCACCCAACGGTTCTATGTATCATTGCGTAACACTGCAGTTCCTATGTTGTTTTTATTTGAGCTTTCATGCATTTTACACATTGGAACGTTGTTACTGTTCTAGGTCAGGGACTATTTTTTTCTAGCGGAAGGAAGGCTTTTAGTGATTTTACTTCATGAAAGTTGCACTAATACAATTTTTTATTACTTTAATATTTGTATTGTGTGGTAACTAGGGTTGGGTTTCGAGAATCGAGTATCGATTGGAACCGGGACTAACTTTTCATTTTTCCCGGAATCGTTCAAAAGTTAAAATTTTGATTCCTAGTTTCGATATTCACAGTCCACCGACTGGAAGAAGAAACCGCTGAACAACACCAACGAAGAAGCATCTACCGGAAGTGTTGGCATAACCGCGCGAGTCGAACATGGGTAGCTTACGTCAGCGGTCCAATGTGTGGCTTCACTTTTCTAAAAATAAGGAAATCTCGGCAAAATGCAAAATTTGTGACAAAAGGAGTATTTGTGACAGAAGGAGTATTTCCTTCAGAAAGACCGTTGGTTAGCAAGGTTAGCTAAACTTTTTTGACCCTGCCTCTTAAAAGAATCGTAATCGAGAATCGTTGGGAACCGGAATCGAAACAAGGAATCGGAATCGGAATCAGAATCGTTCAAATTCAAACGATACCCAACCCTAGTGGTAACCGTTTTATAAGAGCAATAAGGTACTCGAGGCAAGTGCTGTATCGTGAATAAGTAACGGCTGAAGGGGTTACTCCACTTCGCCTTGAGCCTAACAACGCCCTTCAGCCGTCACTTATTCACGATACAGCACAGCCTCTCGTACCTTATTTCTTACTTCACAAGATGTAAAATAAGTACCCAGAGTGTGTATGTGAAGTGTTAGCTTAATATACCCCACAGATATTTTTATATAGCACGTTAAAATTGTCATTTCTGAATGGTCAGACTGATCTCATGAAATGGTGTATGTATGACACGGCAATTCGTATTTCCATTTTTGGCGTGCCATCAACACGCATAATCGATTTTCAGTGTGTTTATCAATGCCGTTGACTTAACGTTACACTACTGTATATATAAATATATGACCTACCCCAGTAGCGGAGTGGCAATCAGGAGAGTCGGGAGTTTTCTATGCGCCCAAGCGAGGGGAAGAAAAATGTTTTGTTTTTTACGTTTTTGATAACGGAGCGTATATTTGCACTAAGTGTCTGTCTAAATAAATGCTCGTCACGGAATAGCTACAGTGGCGTAGGGCGTGAAGTGCTTGAAAGCAGCTTTTGATCCTTCGACGCAAGTTCGAATCCGCCTTTTGCCGAACTCTCTCTTCTCCCCTTTACCAACACATATGAGATGTAAAATGTATAACCTAACATAAAGGTATCTAGTGTTATATTTTGCCAACAAACTAAAATTGAAACCATGATATGGCTTTGTGCCTTTATAAAACACCACAAGACTTTAAGAATAGGCATCTGGTTTGTGCTGGGTGATTTAAAGAAAAGTGTGCTCTTTGCTCACGCGATCAGCTGGTGTTTCCTCCTAAATAAAAGCTCAAGGGTTTATTTCTTGCAAGTGAAGAAATCATCAAATATTATACTGTAATGTTGGCTAAAATATACTTTTTAAATATTCATTTTCATTTATATAGTTTGTTATCACTATGAAGCTGCTTTGATACAATCTGTATTGTAAAAAAGCGCTATATAAATAAATGTGACTTGACTTGACTTATAGGCTATATGGATTTACATCATAGAAATAATTCTATAAATCATTACATTATTATAGTAATTGTTTGGCATTAAAACACCATTGATAATGTAATGCAGACTGAGACTCTCATAACTAAAAAGATGTTTGAGCCCTCTTTATTGTCCTGGTACAAATCAATGCTTTTTCTTTGTTCACCAAGCAGTTCATGGGTTGAAGCTCTTCATTTTGATCTCTAAAAGAGCATTTAACCTTAAAATGTACAACATGTTCTTGCGGGGGACCATGCGCCATGCGCCCCTGAACTCTTAGTCTGGCCCTGCCGCCGACGAAGGCTGGTGGTATACAAAATTTCCCGGTAGATTTTTTTTTTTTGGTCCCACTCCGTCCCTAAACCTACCCGTCACTGGGGTTAATACCATTTATGAGTGTTCCCCTACCATCCTAGGAAAAAAATATCACTCCCCAGATGTAGATCTACATGTTGCCTAATTTCGCTCTGACATTTAACAGTGTGTACATGCACGCGGAATCACTCAGACATTTAATGGTACAGACATACACGCATACACACAGATACCTCAAAATGCGTATAGATAACACTCCACTTTACTTGAAAATGGCGTGTAAGTTTACGCAAAAGTCATGTTGAAATGGTTAATTGATTAATTTAGGTAGCTTATGTGTAGTTATCTTCTAGTCATTGATTAGCATATTCTGTCATGATGATCTATAAATTGTGTTCCCGTGGATGAGGTTTATGTAAACTTTAGGGTTAGTGATGTCACTTACCCGGAAGGTACCTTGTGTAGTCCCTACCAGCCTTTAGTTGTAGTCCTTAAAAAGCAATTTCTTTAAATGTAAATATCTCCCTTTGCTTTGAGCTTTGAGCATTGCAACTTTACTGATGTTGTTTATGCTCAAACAGCAACATTAAACATTAACTAAAGTTAGAAAAGGGAAATCATAATCAACCACCCCTTAAAGAAAGTATCTAACTTTCTTAGGCATACAGCTTTCTGGAAGAATGAGCTCTTGCATTAAAAATGGTCTCTGTAATCGTAATCCCTATTCGGACAGGACGCGTTTAGCATGGAGAGGTGGGATAAAGTATTATTACCAGAGCTTCTCAGGGATTTTAGTTCCGTCCGAATATGCATCTCAGTAATTTTTATGGACAATGTCAGTGAGGATTACGGCAACTTTTACCTTCTGTAAAAAAGTCCGAAAACTTACTAATCCCGTGCGATTAGACCCGCTGTAAATATTTATGTAAAAAATTAATTTCTTGTTTCGCATTAGTATCGCATTCAGTTGCATTCTAGGGGGTGGGACAAGTCATACCATTCAGATCAAAAAGAAGATTGAAAGCATAATCCAATCTGAATTGAATCAAAGGTACAGTATGTAAGAATTTTGTATCAAAATATCCAAAAACCACATGTACAGTGTTATATATTTTTTCAATTGTGTACTTCCATTATCCTAAATGTTTCCAAGTGTTTGTAAATTCAGAGAAATTTACAATTTTAAAAAGTGTTCACTTGTCACCTGTCAATGATGTAATATCCTCGTTATCCCTGGTTTGCGCTTGTGCTGCCATAGTAACTGGCGACAGACTTGGACAACTGCGTAGTGTTGCGTCTAGCGACACACTGTTGTTTCGTTCAAACATAATGGAGCAAGCAGACTTTGACAAAAGGAGAATTAAAACCAGAATCAATATCAGAGTGGCGTTTTTTTTAGATGCGTTTCCTTTCGTTTTCTGACTTGCCAGTGAGGGACGGACTTCTCAAGCCACAAGCTATTAAGCCAGAAGGGGAGTAAGGCCATGAAGTGACAGATTGCATAAGTTGTGTGCTCTGTGGCACTACCCTCCAGATCAATCACCCGTTTGGTCTTCTTGACTTCCTCAGAAGTAAAGCCAGCCCCCTCGTCAAAGTCCTGAAAGACGCTACACCTGCAGAACCGCCATGGTATGCAGCTCTATACCCATTTAAGACTTTAACGCCGGTTTCACACTGCACGCGTTAGCAGAGCATATTTTTTCCACCGCCCATGTTAACAGATTAGAGCATTCACACCGCACACAGAGGCAGTGCAGCAGCGCGTAGCAGGAGCAGAATAGGAGCAGCAGTGCCGCGATCGTTTCGGCGTCCTGTCTATTTTTGCTGCGCGGCTTACGCTGAATTAAAATGACAATGCTTTGATCATAGTCAAAATACACATCATTTTTACCCAAAAGTGCATTGATGATATTGTGTTTTAAACAGTCAATCAATTTAAAAAGAAAACAAAGTCAACAAAACCAAAGATTGTATAATATAAGTTATATAATATAGCCTATTAATGAATAAAATAAGCTTCTTGACAAGTGTTTTATCTTAAATGTATTTGGAAATGAAATAAAGCAAAGCCAACTTACCCATTATAGAGTACTTTGTCTGTAAACACGGCGCACACGTCAAGGCTGCTAGTATGAAAGCAAAACGCGCGTGTTCTGCTTCTGCTCACTGTACGCACTGCTCCTGCGCTGCTTACACTCTGCTAATGCGCGCAGTGTGAAACCGGCGTAAGACGGTTTAGACAGTGGCGTTAGATGCGATCTCAAAGTAAGAGCTGTAGGCCATGAGAGGTGGACCTCGAGTGGCTCCTGAGGGCTACATCACTATGAGGGCTTCTAGGCTCAGCACAAATTCTCGTTTCATGTCAATAATTTCTATTTTCAAAGAAATGTTTATTTACTAGAAGGAAAATTTTAATTTTTCATGATACCAAAGTGGAAAGAGGTCAAAGAATATAGATAGTAGTGAAGGACTTGTGTTAATGCTGTTATTTCAGTTTTAATGTCAGTAATATTACAATAAAACAATCAAAAGAACACTTAGTGTCTGCAACACAATCTTTCTTCATAGCAAACATCACTGAGACTAAAGTCATTGACGTAATTAAAACACTAAAACCATCTAACGCCAGGGATGTATTTGGTATGGACACGAACATGCTTAAAGAGTCAGGATCCGCTCTAGCTACTCCTATTGCTTCTATTATTAATCTATCCATTTCCAGTGGTCATTTTCCAAAGGCCTGGAAATCTGCTATTGTTACGCCAGTTTTTAAGTCTGGTCTATCTACCTCCGTGAATAACTACCGACCAATAAGTATTCTCCCGGTCATTTCTAAAATTGCAGAAAAATGGGTGGCAGAGCAGACTGTCCAGTACTTAAATAGTAGCTCACCCTCTTTTCACGCCATGCAGTTTGGTTTTAGGTCCAAACACTCTACTGAAACAGCCACGTGCCTTTTTATCGAGAAAATAAAATCTTTTCTTGACAAGGGGGGAGTAGTAGGGGCGGTATTCTTGGATCTCAGAAAAGCTTTTGACACAGTGAACCACTCAGTTCTACTCAACAAGCTTCCACAATTTAAATTCTCTTGTGATTCTGTTAGTTGGTTTGAATCCTACCTGCATGATCGTACACAATCTGTACGAATTAACAACAGTATTTCTGAGTCTCTGAAGCTAACTACCGGGGTTCCTCAGGGCTCAATATTAGGGCCCCTCTTATTTAGCCTTTATATCAATGACTTGCCTAATGTCTGCTCTGAGGTGGAATGTTTAATGTATGCGGATGACACTGTTCTATTTGTTCATGGTCGCTCTAAAGACATTGTTGCAGATAAACTAACTAAAGCCATGACTCGTGTTACATCCTGGTTACAGGAGAACTGCCTGCAACTAAATATTTCAAAAACTGTTGGTATGTTCTTCAGTAAAACCAATTTAGCTTCATTTAATCCGGACATAATAGTTGCTGGAGAAAAACTACAAATTGTAAATCAATACAAATATCTTGGCTTAGTAATAGATTCATATCTCTCCTTTAAAGCCCGTATTAAAAAATTATGTAAAATAATCAAGTTTAATCTAGCAAATTTCCGCTCAATTCGAAATGATATGTCAACCGAAGCTGCACAAATTTATTTACATTCCATGATTTTCAGCCACCTCAACTACTGTTTAATAAGTTGGTCTCAAGCAAGTCAGATTGCAAAAAGACCTTTGGAGACATTATATAAACAAGCCATCATGGACAAAAAACCAAGGCACTATCATCACTGTGCAATTTTAAAAAAAACACAGACTTTTAAACTGGGACAGTATTCATAAGTTTTTTGATTTGAGTCTTATATACAAAGTGACACATGATTTGGCCCCAGCTCCTCTGGCTGAGTTCATCAGCCAAAGAAACAGCTCTGAGCGCATCACTCGAGGCTCTGCCAGAGGGGACTGTGTCGTCCCTCTGCGCAGGAGCGCTTTTAGTCGCTCGGCCTGGTCAGTGAGGGGCGCTGCTGAATGAAACTCTATACCTGAGGAGGTTAGACAGCTCAATACTTACAAGGCTTTTACAAAAAACTTGAAAATTCGGCTTATTAACAATTATGTCTGCCAACATTAAAAGCCGAACCAAGAGCTGTATTATATATTTAATATATAGTCTTTTTGTAAATGTGTTTTTGTGTATTTTATTATTGTAATAGGCATAGTGTACCCTATGTTATCTTATAGTGTTATTTAGATATTTTTTAGTCAATTTGCTATAGACCTATAAATGTATTTTCTTGTTTGTATTGTAATGCTTTTTTGGCCAGGGGACTACAGATCCCTACAGCATTTTGGCTAATTCTGGCTTTTTTAACTATGTTTGTTCATGCGTTTTGTGAAATTGCACTGTCCCCTTTTAAATAAACCAATAAATCAAATCAAATATTATATTGTTCATATATGAAGAGCTTTCATACAAGCAATATAAATTCATTGGCACAACCGTTTTGCTTTTTTTTTTTATAATGTAATTTAATTCCTTTTTTTTCATGTACCTTGCATAAATCATATGAATGTCTATACATTTAAGATTATCCACTGGTACAACAGAAAGAGCATTTGGTTTGTTGTTAGTTTTTTTTTTTAATGTTTAGTATTTGTTTGGATTTGAGTCCTTCTGTTTTTTGTTTTCTGTCTGCATGGTGACATCGTAATAACTTGACTCACAAGTCGGAGCTTTATTGCCTCATAAGGTAATGTCGATTGAGTGTGCTAAATATTTATGCACTGTTGATGAGTAGCAATAAAGCTACTTTACTAATTTAGTTGGTTTATGAGTTAACATTCTTACACATCTATGGAATATTTTGTTGCACTTACAATAGCTTCTCTTTCTCTGTGACATGTAGAAGTGGGCGGAATCTGTGAAGAGACGCTAGCGTGTGATTGGTGGAGTTTGGGAGCCCTTTTATTTGAGCTCATAGTTGGGAAGGTAGGAGTATTTCAACACTTGAATCATTTTCAGTGAATCATTTAAAAAAAATTGAGGCATTGTTTGAGTGTGGTAAATTGAATTGGAGGGATAATTGTATTGTTATAATTGTATTTTCATGTAATTTCAACAGCTTAATATTAAAGGGTTAGTTCACCCAAAAATGAAAATTAAGTCATTAATTACTCACCCCCATGCTGTACCAACCCCGTAAGACCTTCGTTCATCTTCGGAACACAAATAAAGATATTTTTGATTGAATCTGAGGGCTGGATGACTCTTCCATAGACAGCCTGAGGGACTGCCTCTTGACGGCCCAGAAAGTCATTAAAAGAAAAGGTTTAAATATTCCATCTGCCTACAGTGGCTCAACTATAACTTTATCAAGCGACGAGACTACTTTTTGTGCGAAAAAAAAAACGTAAATAACGACTTTATTCGACTTCCATTACTTCCTTATGGGCGCATGCGCGAGAACTGAGACGAGACCGTTCTTCTTCGACTACTTTTTGTTACCGGCTGCTCACCGCTTAGGAGTTTTACCGCCCCCTACCGTATAAGATGACGTACTGCTTGTAAACAGAACGTTTTGCGCCTCCGGCTATATCATTTTAATTTTTTATTTGTTTTGTTTTTGTTTTTTTCTTGCTTCTGTTTTTGGTATGGTTTTGTCTGTACAAACTCTTGATTGTATATTGATGTTCTTCTTGTTTGTACTAGTTATTGTTATCAATAAAAAAATAAAAATAAAAATTAAAAAAAAAGCCTCCGGCTATATCAGTACGTCATCTTATACGGTAGGGGGCGGTAAAACTCATTCACTCTTTCCATTAGCCAATAAGGAAGTAATGGAAAGTCGAATAAAGTCGTTATTTACGTTTTTTTTCGCACAAAAAGTATTCTCGTCGCTTGATAAAGTTATAGTTGAGCCACTGTAGGCACATGGAATATTTAAACCTTTTCTTTTAATGACTTTCTGGGCCGTCAAGAGGCAGTCCCTCAGGCTGTCTATGGAAGAGTCATCCAGCCCTCAGATTCAATCAAAAATATCTTTATTTGTGTTCCGAAGATGAACGAAGGTCTTACGGGGTTGGTACAGCATGGGGGTGAGTAATTAATGACTTAATTTTCATTTTTGGGTGAACTAACCCTTTAAAGGTTAACACTATTATTGTTTAAGTTTGTCGTTGTTCATGTGTAGTTTGCTGTGTGTGTGTTTAGTCTCTATATCAGTGTCATCCTGCTGGCATTGGTAGACACTCATCCCTGAACATCCCAGAGTTTGTGTCGGAGGAGGCGCGTTCTCTGCTGGAACAGGTACATATTGCCATGGTGGAAAAATTATATATGCAACCAGAAGTGAGAGGACACAGTGACGGAAGTGGTTGGGCAAGGCGTTTTGAATCTAAGCTGTCATCATCGTTTGTCTCGTTTTGTACTTTTGATTTACAAATTACGTATTTGTAATTACACTTTTTTACGTAATCGAGATGAATACATCAGCACAAGACTGCATGCACAGACACAGGTCAACACTTACTACAGAGATTTATCAATACTTGTACATTTATCGTTTTATCAACTGGGAATAGCGAAGCGAGGCGTTGCTTCGATTTAGACGTTTAAACGTAAATACAAAGTAAATAAAAATAAAAATTGAAATAAAAATTTAAAGTAAATACAGCGAGCTTGTTCACAGATGATGTTGCCAAAAGTCCCCAACATAAACCTTCACGTGGATCATGTGACCTTTACCATTGCTCAATGCATCTCGGGTAATGAAGTCAATTCACAAATCATAATTGACCCTTCGCTAAGCCCCGCCCTCCCTAGTTACTGTTGTTACGCCTGTCAAGCTTTCGCGGCTGGCCCATCTATTATAGTGTGGATGCACCCGGTGTCAGACATTCCCAATGAGATAATTAGTAATTTTCGGCGAACAAGTGAAATATCTGAGAGAGCAAGACAAAGGGGACTACAGTATGCATTCGAGGGATATATTCACGACATTATATGCAACCGATTAGAGAATAATTTCTTAAAAATTGAAGTTAAAGCCTAACGTTATAGTCCCAGCGCAAGCAGCAGCGCCTCATACGCTGACCGTTCAAATGGAAAACACAAACTGAGGAACAGTTATGTTCATACACAGCAGGGTATGTGAAAATAATCTTAATAATTATAAATCAAACAGCTTATCAATAAATCTTGTGGAATAACATTAATACCGGGAGAGCCGCGATCGGATTGGTTTAAAGGTGCAATACCTAAGATTTTTGCATTAAAATATCCCAAAATCCCAAGGCCAGTGTTATATATTTAGTAAAGATGATAACTCACAATATTCCAAATGTTTCAAACAATGTTTAAATCGCGAGAAAATTGAGATTTTAACCAAGGAAACGGCACGTGTCAGCAGGGGTGAGCCGGGAGTCGCGAGTCAATCGCGTCATATCCGCTTACCTCGGTTTCCGCTCTTACTACGTGTAGTCCTGGACAAATGCGGTAGTTGTAGTTGTGCGTTAGCGCCTATCAAACGGCAGCTTGTTTCGCGCATTTGTTATGGAATGGAGCACATATATTCTTTTCATTTATTCTCGGAATGTGAACTGTTGGCTGTAAAGGGGGTCGCACACCGGACGAAAAGCGCCGCGTCACGTTTAGGACAACTCCAGTAACGTTATCGAACACCGGACGCGCACTTTCTCATCAGTGTATGGCCAGCAATATTGTTATGTTTAATGACAGAAAATGAAGATAATGTCTGTTCTATGTTATTGTACTGTACAATTAAATACAATCGTTGCTGAGTCTGCATTCTGAAAACTTTACCTCAGAGCATCCGTTCACAGAATGAATTGAGAATCTCACGTGAAAAATCTAATAATAATCAGTAATTGTCATTCAAGCAGCTGATTTCTGTAAATGACTGCAAAACTAAATGCATAGATATTGCAGCATAGGGCAAAGTCAGGATCCATTAGCAACGGTTTGAGGCAAAAATAATTACAATTTTATATAAAACTATGTAAATGGCGCTCTGTGGCGCAGCAGGGTTTTGAACACGGTCCTGAAACGTTGCTGGGCGCCGCGGACAGACGCCGAATGGCGCCGCCGGTATGTGTACACTTATAGATAATAATGTGTTCGAATAATTATGTGGTGCAACGCGGCGCTGCAGCTTCTCGTCCGGTGTGCGACCCCCTTAACGTTAATTTTGTGAAACTGTAGCTGTGGTTGAATACTTACACGACATGAAAAGATGTGTCAAATGTACATTGCAGACATCCCAAGTCTCCCGGATCTCCCGCATATTGATAGCGTTTCCCTGATGCCCGCAAATTAGTTCAAATCTCCCGGGATATAATGTTAGAGCGAGACATACTGCGCGCATAACATACAGCGCGCTGCGCGTGCACTGTACAGAGGGAGAGACTTTGCGTTTGTGCCTCGCGAACGCGAAAGTTAGCCTTCCCTCCCACCCCCACAATCTTGTTATCGAAATATACCTCCCGGAAATGAATTCTTGCAGGTTGGGATAACTGACATTAAATTGATTTTTTATTTTTATAAAGTTACCAAGGAGGGCCAACCACGTCAACTCCTTGCGAGAGACCTGCCCCTTCAAACCCTCTCCACCATAGCTTCGTCCAGTGACTCGTACAGTAACATCTGTGATAACTAATTTACTTTTAAACCTGACTTTTCTTGCACGGTTATTTCAGTTTAATGAAATACAAGCATGTCATTAAACGCAACGTTTATAGAAATCGAACTTTACCTCATCCATGACAACTAATTTTCGATTCCCGTCTGACTGATTTATCCACGGTGGAGTTGAAAACAACAGTTCCCATCATTCCGCGTTCCTCCACGGCGTCATCAAGCAAAGCCGTTGTTGTTGTTTTGAATGTAGCGCCCTCTAGCGGCATCTAGATCTTAGGTATTGCACCTTTAAGTTAAGGGGTAACGTTAGTAGGACGTCGATTAACAAAATGCTGAAATATATTTTAAAGTATGTCAGTGAGCCTTTGTCTTGTCTCTTTAATCGTCTTATTTTACGTTATATCATTATGACCGAAGAACCGTCAATATTTCCAAGCAATAGGTGTTTTTGTTAAGCATGTCGACATTTACCAGAATGGGTCTCGCACATAGACGCTAGATCACGCCAATAACTTTTCCCCTTGGGTTTTAGATTTTCTGGAAGGAAAACAACTCCTCTCCCCCGTCCAAACTTTTAGTATACCGGTATCAGATTTGCACAATCCATACGCACAATGCTTCAGCATGTTCCCTCGTTCGAAAGCTTGCCAGACCTCCCGCGCATAGTTATGGTTGCTAAGACATGATTGGCCATTGGCGTTTTTCGGGCGTGGCTTAGCGAAGGGTCAATTACACATAGAATGTTTTTAACCACATATGTATCTGAAACATGAACTGTTAATCTTAGTGTTGTGTATTAAATGTTAACTTATTAATCTTAACTTTTATTTTAAATAGACTTCTAGCAAATAAATTCTCAACAATACTAATTTGTTATTGACTGTATAAAACCATATACATTTCACTTTCCATTAGTACACTCGAGAACCAATGCTGTTTTCACATCAGTGATGTTGACTTGCTATATTGTAATCTCAATGAATATAATATGGTCACTATGAAATGAATTTTCTTGAAAGAATTCTTGGGGATGTCAAGCTATTGCCTAAAAGAATTAGTTTGCCTGTAATTATCTCTCTTTCTTTCTCTTTAGTTGTTGCAGTATAATCCAGTGGAGCGGCTTGGTGCGGGAGTAGCCGGTGTGGAGGATATTAAGTCTCATCCTTTCTTTTCTCATGTGAACTGGACCAATTGAGCTATTAGATGCTTTACTAGTATGAGATGAAAGATCTATATGTCTATATGGATGAAAACAATGTCATAAATGCTGCAGGACACATTTATTTCACAAATTCTCCTGCCTACAAATGGCCAAAGCTCACTGTTGAGTGAGGTAGTCTATAGCAGTAAGAGGAAAATGGATGTTACTGTTTTTGAAATAAAAAACATTTTTTTAAACCAGGGTTAGCAATTAAGATTCACGAGCCACTTGAAATAATAGGAAGAGTTTGAGGAGGTTTCCTGTTCATATCAGATGAGAACTATCAACACTATGGCTTCGTTCGAAATCGCATACTCTGTTGAGTACATACTTATTTTGAATAAGTAATCTCTTCACTGCCGCTGTGTAGTGTGAATGCAATAAGGACAAACTACATTTGCCATGTTGTCATTATCATTTGACCTACCAGTGTCAGTTGTGTTGCTTCACTGCCATTCATAAATTCTGGCCCGTGGCCTCATGGGATAGTAAAGTGTCCATCATATGCACACTTCAGAATCTTGCCGGAATAAGTAGGTCATCCAGGTACTGTTTGTCTACTCTTTTATGAGTACTGTGAATTCTTACCTACTACTTTTGTCGCATACTGTTTTTCGGCTACTATATAGTAGAAAAGTATGCGATTTCTGATGCAGCCTAACGTGCTTCCCGAACCTGATCCTGGAGTACCTGATTACATCACCGTTTTCTACAGAAATGCATTATAGATGAAAGGAACTAATTTAATAATTGATCTTTACAACAGAACTGACTTCCGCTGAACAACAGCTGAAATGCGTAATTCTCCTGTTTATCACTGTAAAGCTGCTTTGAAATAATCTGCATTGAATAAAGGCCAGTTCAAAGACAAATGCTAACAAACACAAGCAAACAGGTTGGCCTTTGGATTTAGCATTTTCTGAAAATTAACTTCCATTGGCCTTAAAGCGCTATATAAATAAAGGTGACATGACCTGAAATGTCAGATTAGAGAGACTCAAGACCAGGGGTTGGATCCACTGCTACTGTATTTGTAACTGTATATAAATCCAGCTGCTTGTGTATGTGTTTAATTTATAGTGTTTTACAAAAAGAAGCTGGCAAATTTCATTGCATGAACATCTTTAGCATGGGCTAAAACACACATTTGATTGTTTGATTTAAATTGATCTCATTTATCATTGTCACTATATATTCTTCACTAACCCATCTAATGCTCTATTTATTAAACTCTGTGTCAATGGGCTTATTGGTTCTTTCAATTATGTTTTACTTTCTCAAGGATGGTTCATATTCTTACAGACAAATACAACTATGGAGCTCAATGGCATGGAGAGCCATTTTAAAAAGCACATGTGAATCAGTAAACATTGAGTGTTACATTAAAGGGTGCAGCAAGCCATTTCTGAGAAGCACTGTTGGAAGTGGATCGGATGAACGCCACAACACTTCTAGCCAATTAGCAGTGGGGAAAAGAGATTACTGAGCGACATTACAAAAGAGAACAAGTCAGAGGAATATCTCTGGGAAAAGAAGGGTTATTATCACAAATCTGAAATTCACATCTAAGATTATAAAATTCATGAAACTTTAAGTTCTAATTTGACCTTGTAGTTTAACTTCAAGTTTAAGATTTCTGTTTAATCATTAACATTTGTGTCAATTATTGTTTTAGTTAAATCCATTTGAGAATGTTAAATTCTTATTTCACTGTATATTTTCTTCTGTTAATTACAATCAGAATCAAAGAAAATTAAAATCAGGAAAATTGTTTGTGCTGTGAGTTTCTCTCAATTTCACCAGAATAGAAAGTCCAGTTGATATCCTCGACAGACCAAGGCAAGAACAGTTCTTTATTGGGATATGTAGTGTGTTTCTTGATATGTTTTATGGCCTGTGGTAGTGTAAAACTCAGAGAAGGCCTCAGGTCAGAGTCCACTATGTCTCTCTTCAGTAGATCTAAGCAAAACACCAGCCAAATCAGATGTTTTGATTTGAATAACCATATATGTAGTGCACTGATGCAAATGACACTGAAAAATAGTTATATATATATATATATTATATATATATATATATATATATATATATATATATATATATATATAGTGTGTGTGTGTGTGTGTGTGTGTTGATTTGAGTGTGTGTGTGTGTGTGTGTTGATTTGATGATTGATAAACCAGGTGATTGCTCACCACTGTTAGGAATGGAGCTTAGAAAAGAGATGATTGATTGGGGAGAATGGGTGAACAGTAAGTAAAATGACCTAATGAACACGCATTGGCAGAGCAAAGTTGGGGGTGAAGTGTGAGAAACTATATAAGTGAGGGACTGAGGTTGTTATGTTCTGCTGGCATCTCGGCTTTATTGTCTCTACCAATAAAGTCTTTTTGGCATCTGGAACTCTATGGAAAAAGACACACACACACACACAAAAAAAAACCGTTTTTGTTTGAGAAAAACATCCAGTATGCCGCAGCCCTGTGGGCGAAAATGCCTTGTTGATGCTAGAGGTCAGAGGAGAATGGGCCGACTGATTCAAGCTGATAGAAGAGCAACTTTGACTGAAATAACCACTCGTTACAACCGAGGTATGCAGCAAAGCATTTGTGAAGCCACAACACGCACAACTTTGAGGCAAGAGCTCACCAAAATTGGACAGTTGAAGTCTGGAAAAATGTTGCCTGGTCTGGTGAGTCTCAATTTCTGTTGAGGAATTCAGATGGTAGAGTCAGAATTTGGTGTAAACAGAATGAGAACATGGATCCATCATGCCTTGTTACCACTGTGCAGGCTGGTGGTGGTGGGGTAATAATGTGGCAAATTCTTGGCACATTTTAGGCCCCTTAGTGCCAATTGGGCATTGTTTAAATGCCATGGCCTACTTGAGCATTGTTTCTGACCATATCCTATCACTATGGGCCAACATTTCTAAAGAATGCTTTCAGCACCTTGTTGAATCAATGCCACGTAGGAAGGCGAAAGAAGGTCAAACACAGTATTCGTATGGTGTTCTTAATAATCATTTAGGTGAGTGTATATTATGTAGAGAACTGTGCAACATATTAGTAGTACAAGAATCTTTAATAGTTTCTTTATCAAAAACCAATCCAGCTCCACATGCAAATGAGCACGCTTGAAATAAAGAGCTATAAAATCTCCAACAGAGGAATTTTCCCGCTTGGAAATTCCACCCTTCTCATTGGTCAAGCAAACCGGATGAGATGGGACTTTTTAGAGCCAAATTCAAAGTGACCTCCCTTTTCTTCTGGCTTCTACTGCTGCTTCTTCACGTTGATTAGAATACGAATAGAATACGAATCTTTATTGTCATTGCACATCGGATATACAATGAAATTACAGTATATCTGCGGCCAGTGCATAATAAATCAAATAAATATTTTTTTTTATTTAATCTTTATTTCAGACCTATGGGTCCAAATCAAACAAACAGAGTAGTAGAACAAGAACAATACATACAGACATCGATTTACAAACAACACACACATTTTTCTTAAAAAACAAATAAGCTTTCATTCCACTGCCTCCAGAAACAGGAAAAATACCTTGTATCACTTAATGTGATGTTATTTAGCACCATTATGATACTATTTTTTGAGTCGCTCAACCGACACATAAAATTGTACATATACCTCCGTAATACAGCATGAGTACACTGTTGGAGACAAACATCTGGCCACCTTGGGACCCTAAGCATATAAATATATAAACGTTAAAAAGAAAATAAAAACATTTACACATCATAGCGCACACATTCTTTATGAGTTCAGTGACCTAATGGCAGGGAAAAAAACTGTGTTTGAGTCTGTTTGTCCTGCTCTTAATGCACCTGTACCTTCTGCCAGAGCGCAGGAGGTTGAACAGGTGCTGTCCTGGGTGTGAGAGGTCAGCAGTGTTTGCCCTAGCTCTTCTAGCGAGGGTAGCGGGCTGCCAATGATGTATTGTGCTGACTTTATGACCTTCTCCAGGCTCTTTCTGTCCACCACTTTGCAGTTAGCATACCAAGCCGTGATGCCGTATGACAGGACACTCTCAATGGTACTGCGGTACAACAATTTCTCCTCCAAATGGTTCCTTCTGAGTAGGAAGTGGAGTCGCTGTCGAGCCTTTTTTACCAGCGCAGATGAGTTAACAGTCCAGGAGAGTTCGTCGGTTATATATGTACCTGGTAATTTGTAGGAGGACACCCGCTGAACACAGTCCCCGTTGATGGTCAATGGGGCTGGTTCTCTCTTGTGTTTCCTGAAGTCTATGATCATCTCCTTAGTTTTGCTGGTGTTTAGCAGCAGGTTGTGTTCAGAGCACCAGCCTGCCAACCTCATCCCTGTATGCAGACTCATCCGTTCCACTAATGAGGCCGATGACAGTAGTGTCAACCGTGGCGACACCCATCGGGGCCAATGGGTGCCAGCAGGCTCTGACCACAGCCTGCTGTGTCTTCCCTCTCTCAACAGAGTCAGACTGTAATTTCTTTATTCCAACTCAAACAAACCATGCAAGTGTTTCACTATTTTTTTCCTTCAACACAGAAGAAATCGTTTGAAACTCATGGAACCAAAATCTTTCTTCAGGAACTTCACAAAATGCTTTTACTGCAAAGGCCATGCAAGTATACATTTAATGAGCAGATGGTTTACAAATCAAAACTGACTGTAAAAAATAAATCTGCATTGTTTATCCTTTTGATCTTTCATTAAAAAAAAAATCACAAAAATCTAACCTTTCATTGAAGTAAAAGAATTGAAAGTGGGGGTAAATCACATTATGAAGTAAATGTTTTTCTCCAAAACACACTGGCCATAATTATTGGCACCCTGTTATTAAATACTTTTTGCAACCTCCTTTTGCCAAGATAACAGACCTGAGTCTTCTCCTGTAATGCATACAGACTCTTCTCCTATAATCCATACAGACTCTCTCCAGATCCTTCAGATTCACAAGTTCATGTTGGTGCTTCTTCTCTTCAGTTCACTCCACTCATCAGGTCAGGGTCTGGGACGGTCATAGCAGAAGCTTCATTTTGTGCTCAGTTACACATTTTTGTGTTGATTTTGACATTTGTTTTGGACCGTTGTCCTGATGGAAGATCCAACCATGGCCCATAATAAGATTTCTAGCAGAAGGCGTCAGGTTTTGATTTTTTATCTGTTTGTATTTGATAGAATCCATAATACCATGTAACTGAACAAGATGTCCAGGACCTCCAGCAGAAAAATAGGCCCACAACATATAAGATCCAGCAGTATATTTAACCGTATAGGCATGGGCTACTCTTCATCCCTGTTTGCACCAAACACATCTGCTGGGTTTGCTGCCAAAAATCCCTTTTTTTTGTTTTATCTGATCAAAGAATCCGGTCCCTTTTGAAGATCCAGTCGTGTCTGACCACTGAATATGCTAGAGTTTGTTTTTGGATGAGCAAGGAGGATTTTTCTTGAAACCCTCCCAAACAACATGTGGTGATGTATGGGCTGTTTGATAAATGTTGTTTTGGGTTTTCTGAGCCCAAGACTCAACTAATCGCTGCAATTCTACATCTGTGATCCTTGAAGAGTCTTTGGCCACTCAAATTTTCATCCTCACCGTCCATTAAGGCAATATACACTCACCGGCCACTTTATTAGGTACCCCATGCTAGTAACGGGTTGGACCCCCTTTTGCCTTCAGAACTGCCTCAATTCTTCGTGGCATAGATTCAACAAGGTGCTGGAAGCATTCCTCAGGGAGTTTGGTCCATATTGACATGATGGCATCACACAGTTGCCACAGATTTGTCGGCTGCACATCCATGATGCGAATCTCCCGTTCCACCACATCCCAAAGATGCTCTATTGGATTGAGATCTGGTGACTGTGGAGGCCATTTGAGTACAGCGAACTCATTGTCATGTTCAAGAAACCAGTCTGAGATGATTCCAGCTTTATGACATGGCGCATTATCCCGCTGAAAGTAGCCATCAGAAGTTGGGTACATTGTGGTCATAAAGGGATGGACATGGTCAGCAACAATACTCAGGTAGGCTGTGGCGTTGCAACGATGCTCAATTGGTACCAAGGGGCCCAAAGAGTGCCAAGAAAATATTCCCCACACCATGACACCACCACCACCAGCCTGAACCGTTGATACAAGGCAGGATGGATCCATGCTTTCATGTTGTAGACGCCAAATTCTGACCCTACCATCCGAATGTCGCAGCAGAAATCGAGACTCATCAGACCAGGCAACGTTTTTCCAATCTTCTATTGTCCAATTTCGATGAGCTTGTGCAAATTGTAGCCTCAGTTTCCTGTTCTTAGCTGAAAGGAGTGGCACCCGGTGTGGTCTTCTGCTGCTGTAGCCCATCTGCCTCAAAGTTCGACGTACTGTGCGTTCAGAGATGCTCTTCTGCCCACCTTGGTTGTAACGGGTGGTTATTTGAGTCACTGTTGCCCTTCTATCAGCTCGAACCAGTCTGGCCATTCTCCTCTGACCTCTGGCATCAACAAGGCATTTCCGCCCACAGAACTGCCGCTCACTGGATGTTTTTTCTTTTTCGGACCATTCTCTGTAAACCCTAGAGATGGTTGTGCGTGAAAATCCCAGTAGATTAGCAGTTTCTGAAATACTCAGACCAGCCCTTCTGGCACCAACAATCATGCCACGTTCAAAGTCACTCAAATCACCTTTCTTCCCCATACTGATGCTCGGTTTGAACTGCAGGAGATTGTCTTGACCATGTCTACATGCCCATGTCACTGAGTTGCCGCCATG